TTTGAAACTGAGAATATCAAAAAAGTGGTTATATTGTTCTCTCAGGGAAGCTAATTAACTCATTCACCCCTGAAGATACATTGAACTCAACCAGTTCAAAGGTTGGAATAGTTCATTATGAAATTTCAGAGGGGAATGAGTAAATAAGCCATTATAAGTTTTATCAGTGACAATGCCATGTTAAAGAGTATGTAGGAATCTGTAGGTGCCCAGGCTTCAGAATCATGAAAAGAATCGTAGAGTTATTAAATGTTCATGCTGTCCAAGTTTCCTTTATCAATAAATGCAATTTGGACTTTTATTAGATGGTGATTATTTCATGATCCTGGAGCTTGACAATTAGCTGAAACCTGAACAATACAACAAGGTACTGACATAGCATACAATGAAAGTATGGGCTCAAGAGATAAAGTTTCTTGTTCTCCAAGACCAGAAGTATACCTACAAATGTAGTATATTTTCTTAGAAGTTATGGAAATTGCTTAAAAATTTAGACTGCAACCTGAGAAAGTGCTGAGGAAGTTAGTTTCCAAGAGGTACTTTAGTTTTCAGACTAACACACTGCTGATAGAGGACTTACTCCCTGGACAGCACACTAGTAGTCAGGGCAAAAGCCTTGAATTCAATGAAATCACTTTTATTATAGAGCAAATAAAAAAGAGGTTAATTATTAAGAGTCATTATCAGTTGATTTGTTTCTTAAACAACATATTTATTTATCATTGTGTAATTATTTGATACATGTTGATATGCAATCCTTATGTGATATTTATATCTAATTCCGTCCAAACTCACAGTAACTTCTTAGTAAAATTGTTGTCTTCTCACACACAAAAATGTGTTTTATTATACCCCATGTTTGTAACGTACTATAGCCAGACAGCCTGCTATAATGCCTGTTTGTTAAACAAGTCAGCAGGTACTAGGTTCATCTCTATATTATATTGTCTGTCAATCCATTGTCTGCTGGTTGTAAGACCCCTAATACTATAAGAAAGCAAGGCCAAGCTATTCATAACCTCATCTCTACATAATATGTCACATTAATTCAAATTTTATCGTAAGTATTATTTTCATCTATCCCAATTCACATTGAGTTTGTTTTTAATTTCAATATTTATCAAATATTTGGAGTTGGCATCTTTTATCTTTTCACTATTTATAATACATTGGGAGATACGCTGGGGTCTGAGCTACTGTGTTTATTTACATAACCGTCCAAGACAAATATTACATTGTGTGATTTTCTAGAAGCAACTTTTATTATGTGTACTACTTCATTTTACAAATATGGAATTTACACTAAGGATGAAATAATTAAATGGTGTAAAATACTTAAACCGAGGTTGTTTTTTGTTTATTTGGAAATATGATATGAATCTGATGAATCGTAGATGGAAGATATATATATATATAGAATCATCGAGCTATTCAGATTGATATGACTCGCATGTGCCCTGCTTTGATCATCATGTCAAGTTTGGTTAATCTGGCACTTATAGTTGTGGAGATGCTGACAACGTCAATGCACCATGAAAGGTAGGCCGCATCCAGCATCTGATGCATGGGTTAAGATGTACTACCTCAGATGCATCTATTGGTTGATTTAGCACTTATACTTTCAGTGAAACTAACTTAAATGCAAAAACTAAATGTTGACGACGCCACCAATGCCGGTCACATAGAGGTCATAGTGACCTACTTTTTGCACTCCGCAATCCCAAGATGTATACCAAATCTGGTTATTCCTGGTGAAATAGTATAGAAGATATGCACCAGTCAAACTTCTTGGACAGAAGGACGGAAAGATGGACGGAGTGCAAACTTAAGAACCAGTGGGGAACAAACAACCTTCACACGTTACAGAACAAATAACCTTCACACGTTAGAGAACAAAAAACCTTCACAGGTTACAGAACAAACAACCTTCACACGTTACATGACACGTTACAGAACAAACAACCTTCACACGTAACACGACACGTTACAGAACAAACAACCTTCACACGTTACATGACACGTTACAGAACAAACAACATTCACACGTTACATGACACGTTACAGAACAAACAACATTCACACGTTACATGACACGTTACAGACCAAACAACCTTCACACCTTACATGACACGTTACAGAACAAAACACCTTCACACGTAAAACGAAACGTTACAGAACAAACAACCTTCACACCTTACATGACACGGTACAGAACAAACAACCTTCACACGTTACAGAACAAACACCCTTCACACATTACATGACACGTTACAGAACAAACAACCTTCACACCTTACATGACACGTTACAGAACAAACAACCTTCACACGTAACACGACACGTTACAGAACAAACAACCTTCACCTTTACATGACACGTTACAGAACAAACAACCTTCACACGTAACACAACACGTTACAGAACAAACAACCTTCACACGTTACATGACACGTTACAGAACAAACAACCTTCACGTGCACACGTTACATGACCTACAACACAGGAATAACACCCTTCAAATGTCACATGACCTAATTATTTATATATAAACAGGAATAACACTCATAGGGAATGTTAAGTAATTCCAATGGCAGTATATTTTTAATCTAATATAATATAATTAATCAAGAAGCGAAAGTTGTAAAATTGATTTGATCTTAGTATTTTTTATGCTCAAATTTGAACAACAGTTCATGCCTGTTAGTCACAGGCCAATATTATGACTCACTTCATGACTCGTGGTTCACAAGAACATAGTTGAAGATTTTAACATACACATATTTGAACCCTGTGACCTTAAATGTTGGTCAAGGTATTCTATTTCACTAAATTTGATAAATAAAAGGATAAACCTTGAACTGTGACGGAAAGGCCCAAAAAACATATAGGCGCACAACACTAAAGGTGGGCATAAATGAAAATGAAAACATTAAAAGTCATCATTTTTTATTGACATTCAAAAATTGACATATTTATGTAACCTTAAGATGTGTCAAGATAAAGCCTTGATAACATTTCGGAGGAAATACATCGACACTTGCAACTAATTATTATTTTTGTTGAAACCTAATTACGGTACATTTCTGTCTTACTCTAGCACCAAGACTTTTACAAGCCAATTAATACAACAGCATGATAAATAGGCATACACCCTGTATTTAGTATAGGTACTAGTAACAAGCTGGGGTATGATTGGTTAGCATACACCCTGTATTTAGTATATGTACTAGTAACAAGCTCAGGTATGATTGGTTAGCAATGCATATACATACCCGATATCTAGTGCACTGGTAACAGTCTGGTGTATGATTGGTTGAAACCTAATTACAGTACATTTCTGTCTTACTCTAGCACCAAGACTTTTATAAGCCAATTGATACAACAGCATGATAAGTAAGCATACACCCAGTATCAATCACACTGGTTACAGTCTGGGGCATGATTGGTTAGCACACACCCTGTATCTAATACACTGGTAACAGTCTTGGGTATGATTAATTAGCACACAGACTGTATCTAATACACTGAGCACACACCCTGTATCTAATACACTGGTAACAGTCTGGGGCATGATTGGTTAGCACACACCCTGTATCTAATATACTGGTAATAGTCTGGGACATGATTGGTTAGCACACCCCCTGTATCTAATACACTGGTAACAGTCTTGGGTATGATTAATTAGCACACAGACTGTATCTCATACACTGAGCACACACCCTGTATCTAATACCCTGGTAACAGTCTGGGGTATGATTGGTTAGCACACACCCTGTATCTAGTACACTGGTAACAGTCTGGGGTATGATTGGTTAGCAAACACCTTGTATCTAGAACACTGGTAACAGGCCGGGTTATGATTGGTTAGCACACACCCTGTATCTAATACACTGGTAACAGTCTGGGGTATGATTGGTTAGCACACACCCTGTATCAATCACACTGGCCATGGTAATAGTCTGGGGTATGATTGGTTAGCATACACCCAGTATCAATCACACTGGTAATAGTCTGGGGTATATTTGGTTAGCTTACAGCCTGAATCTAATACACAAATAACAGGCTAGGGTTTTATTGGTTAGCATACAATCTATATCTAGTTTACTGGTATTTATCCAGTATGCTTAGTCAGTAACATACACTCTTAAACCCGTAAAGTCACAAGATTAACTTGTGTTATCGACCCCTGTTACTAGTAACTTCTGTACAGAGTACAAGTCATTGTACACACTGTATTGTACTGTACCAATCACTACAACTGCTGTTTACCGGGTACATTTTTGCTGCTGTTAAATTTCCGCCCTTTTTGCCCTCAGTAATGAGAGCAAATTTATCATTACAGCGGATATTAGTAAAAGCATAATAAACAAATTAATTAAATGTAAAGGGAGAAATGAACAATGGACGAAAATTGGTTTCATGGGTGAAAGGCGAAAGTTAGACGGGGTGAAATTTTTTCCGGTAAACAGCCAACAAATAATCCCTGTTTTAGCAACTGATACTGTTGACATATAACAGGGATATTTAGCAAAACAAAATTCATGTTTAAGACTGAACATAAATAAACGATTGGCCCTTAATGGTCACTTGAGTCCAACAGTATTTATTTTTGTTGCTGAAATATGAAGTTGAGAGAATGATGTCAATCACCCCTACCAATTTGAGTGTAAAACAGTTGAGTATAACATTAAGTTAAATTTGTCATGTTGGATTTTTGGATCGGCCCGAGACCAGCCCAGGTCCAAGTCGATCATTTCTACAAAGTTTCAGTTCATCATTGAAGAAAATGTTTAGAAATAAAGTTTCAGTTCAATCGGCCCAGTAATAGTTTTTTTTCATACGGATCCAAAAAGTAATAACACTTTGTCAGGACCATGAGTCGATCATTCCTATCAAGCTTCAGTTAAATAGGCTCGGTAGAACTTGAATTTAAGTTTGAAATAGTTTGTCAAAATGGCAGCCATGGTGGCCGTATTGGATTTCTGATCGACCCGAAAAATAACAACACTTGGTCAGGGAGTTGTCAGTAACATTCCAATGGAGTATCAATGAAATCCCTTAGGTGACCTAAAAACTGCACGTTAAGTTGGACATCAGAATAGTCCTACAAGTATCGTCTGGCCCAGAGTGAGACTAGATCGACAAGTTTTGCATGTACCTAGTCTGATGCAGAATAGACAAGCTCATGATTTGTACAAGTATGGGCGTCTGGCACAGAGATGGACAACTTCGACAAGTGATACATGTACATAGTCTGGTATGCAAGTATGGTCTGGCCCAGAGTGAGACTAGATAGACAAGCTGTATAGGTACAATGTACATAGTCTGACGCAGAATAGACACACTCAAGTTCATGATTTGTACAAGTATTGGTGTCTGGCACAGAGAAAGACTACATCAACAAGTTGTACAGGTACGTAGTCTGACGCAGAATAGACCAGCTCATGAAGGTATGCAAGTATGGTCTGGCACAGAGCGAGACTAAATCGACAAGCTGTATAGGTACAATGTACAAAAATTGATGCAAAATAGACCAGCTCACTAGTTGTACTAGTATCATCTAACACAGACTATAGCTAGATCAACAAGTGGTACAGGTACATTTTCTGACACAGAAGAGACCAGCTCACTGAGTCTGTAAGTCTTCGTAGAGCTAGGCAGACAAACTCCCAGTAATGAGTTTGAGTTTATATGAAAAATAATTTATTTTCGTTTGAGCGGAGCGAACTAGAACATAAATATAAGTATCGTCTGGTATAGGGTGACACTATATTGACAAGCTGAACAGGTATTGTCTGACAGGGGAGTGAGACTACTTGTATTAAATTACACCGAGTAAGCCTTGTTTACCAACTGTACCTGTATTTTGTACCATTTAAAGAGCCTAGTTTAGCAGTTGGTACAGGTATCGTCACATAAGTCTAGTCCATAACATCCAACAAATCAACAAATATCGCGTAAGACAGCTTGACAAGGTCCACCTTGATGTCATCGCGCCCAAGAGAAGCCAGAGTATCACAGAATTTTTTCTTCATTTCCCCAGAATTGTCAAAAGGAATGAAGGGCTCTTCAAGCAAATTGCTGGCACATGTGAACCTAAACCACTGCATGGATTTGAGTTTTCCCACAGAACGTGTGATGTCTAACAGGTTGTTCTCGGTCAGGATATTGCCCGAAATGTCTAGCGCTTTCAGCTTGGTCAAATTTTGTGTTAATATGGTACAAAATTCGGAGATACACGCATCGGGTAAATGATTCTGCGTAAGGTTAAAGATGTTCACATTGGGGAAATGTTTTGTAATTCTCAGCAGATACACAGGGGAGATACGATCGTTTTCATAAATGGAGAATTGACACACTTTACTTAAGTTTAACTCTCTCAGATGTTTAGCATGGTTAGACTCTGCTAATGCTGCCAAATCGTCTTCATTCAAATCACACCCTCGCACACTGAGGTACTCCAGAGGGGTTTTGAGAGCGTCCAGAAGTTCCCCAAGGCATCCGAGTAAGTAGTTAAAGCCAAGATCAAGTCGAGTGAGGTGTGCAAAGGACCCCAGGGTACTGACCATCTGCAGACGACCCGAGGTCCGGCTGCGTGTGCGACCTTCTTGCAGGTAAATGTTACAATCTTGAAGGTCAAGGGCACGCAGGTGAGAGAATTTCTGAATGTCTGAACACACCATGAAAAATATACCATCCTCCAATTGCTTCAGGGAGATACCCTCCAGGTACTGAAAACAAAACACATTCAAAGTTAATATTCAATAGCCGTACAAATGCATATAAATTTTATATTTTATCACCATATCGGCACTTTTATTCTATAATGGATAATAGTTTTCCTGGTTTTGTCAGCGTGAAAAAAACCCCAAACTGCACAAGGTAACAAATGCAATATAGAGAAACCTCAACTCTTTTAAGCAGTGTTCAATGTAATTTTAACTCTCTTCATTTTGCACCAGACTGTGATGTTTCTTTCCTCTCTCGCCTAGTTCAAAATACGGTTAAAGAATATGTGCTATCACTAATTCCTTTTGTTTTACATATGAGTATCTTTTAGTCTGTTACATGCATAACTGACTGTGATATTTTATACTTGTGTTGTAATGTTGTTATCCTTTCTGTAAGTGGACCCCTGGGTCTGTTGAATTTGAAATAAATAAATAAATGAATCGTGCTTCACAGAATTTTTTCTCTAATACTTAAGAGTGGGTGACAGTCCCCTGTCAAATTTTTGCCTTTCACTGGTATAATCCATTTTTGTGCAGTGTTAATGTCACCTTCACACATTATTACTACGTATAGTATGTTGTGTTCTTATTTTCATAGACAAGATAAGTTCGCCTTCATTATGAACGGCGAAAGCTAAACCACTGCAAAAAAGTCCTGTTATACAGTACATGTATGTGATCACTAAAGCTCATAGATTAATATTATATCATATGAATTTGAGATTAAATATATAATACTAATTAATCCTTACAAGTTTGATATACCTTAGATTTATACTTCAAAAAAGTGATTCATGGGCCCCGGGTTGTTTACCTGCTTTTCGTTTATGCATCATATTGTAACTTATTCACCCCATGATTTTAGCAAAAGACTGCCCAATTCATAGTCTTGTAAGAGTCTAAATGTGACTAGGGGGTTAAAGAATAAAAATGAAAAATAAGTTTTAAAATATATAAAATTTAGTACACTGTGAATCTGATTTATCTCTTATTGGGCCCCTTGGACTCTACATCATGGGGGTTCAACTTTCTTCAGGATCCAATTTTAAATTTCAAAGAGTCGTTACACGATCTTATTTAGCAGTTTGACGAGCCGTTACAGGGAACAACCGGATGAGTCATCAGGAACTAATATAACAGCTGAATGAGTCAGTACAGTTTCTATTTAACATATAGTTGGTGTTGACAACATCTTACATGAAACTAGAGAATTGTAGGAAACCACAAATATTTCAAAGAATAGTCTTACATTCCAATATGATATCAATACTGACTTCTTCAGACTCAACCTTTTATCTAGAGGAACTGTGAGGAAGCTCACAAGGATTTAACCCATGCTTGCTCTTACAAGATTTCTGGAGCAGAAATTTGAAGTTTCAAGGGCCATAACTCCAGAAGAAATAATAGTATAAAGCCAGATTTCTTGCTTTTATCAATAAAATTTCACATTTTGTCAGAGATCAGGGAGAATTTTCGAGAGACTTGAAGCCAAGTAGCATTGTCAATGTTTCCAATGTTTCCACTTTACTTGTTATTTTGGCACAAGATTTTAATGGGTTACAATCAAGTTGCTTCAAGCACAGAATCCATGCTGAAGCATAATGAATATACTTAATTATATATACATGACAGGTGCACTGTAATAAAGGCTGTCACTAAATATATCAAACCTCCATATCTTGTCCTCGTAATACGATGAACGGTGCTAGTGACTCTGTGATCTCGTCTCCGATGGAGGGGTCAGATCTGTAACACGAACAAGAAATACAGTAAACCCCCGTTATACTGCTACCGTTTGTCCAGAGAATTTTTGGCGCTATAAAGGGGTTTGGCAACAAATTGAGGGAAATGTACAAAGGATTTCTTAAGTAAATAAAAAAGGGACATATTAATACGTCGGTGGTAAACAAATTGGCATATGAAACGAGGGGTGTTATATCGAGGTTTTAGTGTATTGTAAATATTTATACCATCACATATTTTACCTGTGAAATACAATAGACAATTAACAGTGAGGTAAGATTGACAGGGAAGATTCTCTAGTTGGGATTATGCATCTCCCCTCACAGTGTGCATGATTCTTTTTCTCTTACTCTGTTGACCTTGTGACACTACAAACTAAGGGTGTCACAATACGCCAAGAGTGTATCACGATATATTGTCATAGGAAGGGTGTGTTCAATTTTATAATTAGTTGTTGTCAGAATGTTATCAAACTTAATCATATATAATAAGGATTACATAGATTTAAGATTTTTTTCTAACCAACCAATGATTACAAAATTTGAACTATTAAAAGCCTGCTTTATGCTTATTGGCATATCTGTTAGAATTTGTAGTAATTTGCAAAGTTAAAACACGAAGCAGATACATAAAAATATGCCTTTGAAAAATATTGCGATACAGCAATAATTCATCTCTGTATTGTGGTACGATACGATATACCCGTGTATTGAGATATACCTGTTTTCCGATATATTGTGACAGTAGGGCTATAACGATACACCTAGGCCACGATACAATACGATCACGATATCTACCTACGATACAATACATTTTGATACGATACAGGATGACGAAATGGTATGCTTCCTCTTCAAATGCGTCGCCATGTATGATGTGTTTGACTTGTAACTTAAATCTACGAAACATATGCTGCAAGTGGAGAGTGATTTTCCATCAGGAACATTTAGCAGGAATCCAAAATGCTGCCAAACAGGCTAGCGAAAGGAAGCGGGAGTTTTGTTTTAACCCTTTATGCTGCTACATTGATTTCTATGTAAAGAGGCACCACTGCTGAATTAATTATTGAAATATAAATTAATTTACTTGATTTTTCAAATGTGCATAACTTGAAAAATGTTTGTTATATGTGAATAAAAGTTCTATGAAAATTGTTCGTTGTTGTCTCTAGTTTACATTAACGTTTTCAATTCTAAAGTTGCTTCAGTATTTACCTGTACAGGTGGTAAGAAAGGTAAGAAAGGGTGAAACTTTTAATTAATCGGATTTAAGCAACAGGAAGATCATTTTATAATTATTTTTGTCAGAAAATGTGATTGGCAAATAATATCAGAGATTTACACGGAGATTCCCAGGTAAAAATATCAGGTATTTCATTAAGAATTGCATGTGATTTGCTACAGGTTTCAAGTCGTCATTCCATATATTTACTGTCACAGTTGGCATATAGATATATATTAGCTAAGGTGTAGTTTATGATTAAATCATAGATATATAGTTTGAAGAAATCAATCGGCTCAAAACGTATCAATGTCATGGTTAAATTCGGCCTCACCTGTGCGCCTCGGTCCGCCGATATTTCCCTGTTTGCGTAGGACATAAAGCCGTTCATTTGAAAGTTACATATTATGTTACACCAAAGTATTTCCACATCAACCATGTCAAACCCTTCAAAACCTTTATAAGCATCGTAGGTGATACTAAAAACCGAACCGAACCACGGAAAAAAACATATCGTACACCGAACCGAAGCAATTTAGCGCGGTTTTCGGCGCACCGCAGTGTATCGTTACAGCCCTATGTGACAGTCCTACTACAAACTTAATGTATTGTTGAGGTGACGTCATAAAATTGATATGACTGGAGAATCACGTATCTAAGACAATTATACCTCACACCAGGAAAAGTGTGGAAACGCATGTCTAGCTATAGGGCGAGATTAATAAAATCTATACCTATACCTGAGCGAGATTGGGTTACCTCGGTCAAAAGCAAATATACTGTAACATTAAGAATAAGGTTACAGAATCTTCTGCGGAGACTGAGATTAATGGAATCTCTCACCCCCTTGGGAGTGAGATAGGGGAATCTCAACCTAAGGGGGAAGATTCTTAAGTTGTCAAACAAAACAGCTGAGTAGACTGGAAAAAGTGGAGTAAAGTATCTTGCTCAAAGATACAACACAGTGCCGTGACGTGACTCGAACCTGCAACCTGCAACCCCGTCGTCAACGGCAGTACACGGTCGGGCCACACCAGTAATAGCCAAAACAACATTAAGGGGAAGTAACTGTTTGTAATTGGAACTCTCTAGTGTTTTGTCTGCAGTGGGACAGGCTTCCTTAAAGCAATGTTTGTCAACCTATCTGATATATGTATTAGATAGACACCACAGTTATAGCCAAAAAAGATCAAGGGGAATTAACTGTTTGTAATTGGAACTCTCTAGTGTTTTGTCTGCAGTGGGACAGGCTTCCTTAAAGCAATGTTTGTCAACCTACCTGATATATGTATTAGATAGACACCACAGTTATAGCCGAAACAAGATCAAGGGGAAGTAACTGTTTGTAATTGGAACTCTCTAATGTTGAGCCTGCAGTGGGACTGGCTTCCTTAAAGCAATGTTTGTCAACCTACCTGATATATGTATTAAATAGACACCACAGTTATAGCCAAAACAACATTAAGGGGAAGTAACTGTTTGTAATTGGAACTCTCTAGTGTTTTGCCTGTATAGGGACAGGCTTCCTTAAAGCAATGTTTGATTACCTACCTGATATATATATTAGACACCGACACGTAGACAGGTGTTATACTCCGTAAGCAGTTACAGATGAGGTAGTCAAGGAATAAAGTGTTACTGTTGGTGAATTGGATGCTGTCTAGTTTAACAACCATACGCTCTCCTGAAAGAGGAAAAAGATCAAACGTCACCTAAATCTTTATTGAGTAAGACAGATTTCAATTAAATGCATAACCTACTCATACAACCAACTCTATTTTGAGACCACTTTCAATGTTCCCAACTGTAGTGATTTCTTGGTGAACTGAGCATCAATTAGGAAACCACCCGTATTAACTCTTTCTGTATAGCAAATCCGGTCTGGAATCTGTACTGTATGTCATTACTAGGCTCACCCCTGCACATGTAACAGATTTTCACTGCTTTTTGTATAGACATGGTGTAACTGCTGCATGAAATAAACAGGTAACTGTTATCATTTTGATGTTGTTGCTAACCCTTTCACCCCTATGTAACTTTAGTTGACTCTACATGCATTGGTCAGGATGAGTCCATTAGGGTCTACAGTGGTGAAAGAGTTAATAGACATCTTCTATTAATACGCATCTTCATTTTTGCAGCATTATGACTAACTGACAGCTGATTATGACCTAGAAATTGGCTTGTGTTTGTCAATGAACACAGTGATCCGATGTCTTCAAAAACAGCTTTGTAGTAGCATGGATTCCCATTAGGAATTTATTTTGGTTATGTTTTCTAAATACAAGTAGATTTTATTGCGGTTTGTCGTGAAATATCTATAACTACTTGCGAAAGTTCATAAATATTAAGCGATGAATTTATGAGTGTTCACATCCAATGCACTCACCGCCATGTTCTTTATATTGTGACCATCTTACGCAGCATCTTTTGGGAAATTAAAAGTTTGATGAAAAATGGGTGCTCTGTTACTTGAGTAGTGTAAAATATCTTAGTCTATCAAAAACCAGGGGAAACTCTGTTGAAAATTGCATTGGTCTATAGGTAAGTTAACAAGATGCCCATGGGCCTTAACAGTCACCTGATATATTTATACAGAGAGTTGATTTTTGTTTTTAACATGAACAGAAATATTATTCAAAGTGACAAAAAACAATAAAACCACCTTATTCAATATCTAGCATGCAGATTTAAGACTGAAAAGTATTTGAAACTAGCACCTCTGATTCTTAAACAAGGAAAATGAAGAAATTTTATTTTAGCAGACAGACTCCATTGGGCCCCACCCTACAGCCCTTGGGGGTAGGGATGGCTCAAAATTTTCAAAGTATCAAACTGTCAACTTAGGGTTATAATTCCAATCAAGTTATCAACATGAAATAAACCATGACAAATTTTGCCCCGTCCCCTCCTTCCCCAGGGGTAAACGTGAGACCCCAGGGTCATAAAATTCACAAATTTGGTAAAACACCTTAAGACCCTTCCATCTATGAAGAGTATTTGATTCTACCATATCTGGGTCTTGAAAAGAAGATTTTTGAAATTTCAGTCAATTCAACCCTTTTTGGCCCCACCCATCAGCCCCTGGGGGTCAGTCAGGGCTGATATGTGCATACTATCAAACTGCTACCCAATAGTGATAATGCTAACCTAAATTGAATTTACTTCCAATGGCAATTAAACAAATGTTGGTCCAAAATGTGACTTCCCTATATAAACTATAGTAAAGTTTACCCCTTCCCCAGGGGGAAACATGAGACCCCAGGGTCAAGAAATTCACAATTATAGTTAAGCACCTTAAGACCCTTCCATCTATGTAGAGTATTTGATTCTACCATATCTGGGTCTTGGAAGGATTTTTTTTAACCAATTTTACCCTTTTTGGCCCCGCCCCTCGGGCCCCTGGCGGCTAGTGACCATATAATTCACAATTTAAGTTGACCTTTGGCCATGGAAGGTTTCTGCAAAATCTCATTGAAATTGGTTCAGGGGTTTTGGAAGAGAAGTCGAAAATGTAAATTGTTTACGTACGCACGACGGACAAAAGGCGATCGCAATAGGTCACTTGAGACTTTGTCTCAGGTGACCTAAAAATGATAAACTGATAATTGAACTTTCTATCATTCCTGTACATACATGACAAAAACTTCCAGAGCAAATAAGGGAAAGCAAGTTAGAATTTCTATCTAACATCCCATATTGTATGTGTGACTTACAATGGGACAACACTGACGTGATGTCATAAGATATAAGGAACATAGTGGAAATTGCTATGCCTTTTCCTGGTGTTTTGAATGAAAGAAGAATACTTTGTCATGCCAAAGGGTGTAGGATGGGAACTTGAATTCGGAAGATTTTCAAATTGAAACAAAACCCTCTGCTATCCTCAGATTTCATCCTATTTGAAAACCCACTTGGTGGAATTTCCCTATCCTACACCCCTGGGAATTGAACTAGTCGTATAGTCTTACCTCGGGGAATGTGGATTCTGTATCTCGGTTCTATCGTTCTATCAAACAGTAACCTAGGCAACACCTCCTCTGTCAGCTGACTGGCTGCTACACCTGGTGAAAGTGGAAGTGAAAAGTATACAACCATCGACTGCTACACCAGGTCCGTTTTCGTTTAAACAGCCAAACCGGTCGGACCACAGTTGTTCATTTATCAAATAAGGTCGAACCTAGTAATGTGATGCTGCTTTCAGGCGAGCCTTGACAAAGCCTTACAAGGACTGCATAAACTTTTGCAGGTCCGCCAGGATTTATACCCAAATTTTTTACATTTATAAACGGTCAAACCGGTTGTTCCACACAAACGATCAGGCCCCTGGTGAAAGTGAAAGTATACAACCATTGGTCAAGTGAGTGCATGTATCATTTAACTCATTCACCCCTGAAATCTCAAAAGGAACTATTCCAACATTTGAATCAGAAGAGGGCAAATGTGTCTTCGGGGGTGAATGAGTTAATCAGTCATTTAAATCAAGCAATTTTTACCTTAAAAGAGTCTAGCATTAATATTTACACAATGACCTACATATTTATGGCAGTTTTGATAACAATTTTCCTGCCTGCAAAGAAAAAGACAAATTCTTACCCCGGTAAGGAAACTGAAGAAACTTCAAGTATGCATCCAGTATTTTGAATTAAAACAGGTAATCTTTTCAGGTGACTACAGTGGCTGATTGTATCACAACCATATCACAACATCACTGCAATAGCCGTTTGCTATCACAACAGTATTGTGTAAGTCCTGGGCCCGTATTCATGAAACCGTTCTCATGCTCAAGCATGGATTTTGTGCTCAAGTCTCATTTCTTGTTCCAGTTATAAATTATTTAAATAATCTAATTTTGTTAAAGTTTTGGAGAAAAATTGAAGAAACTTGAAGCCGAATACTGTTGTCAATATTTTAATTTGACTATTTGATCGTTGACATGATTTAGATTGGTTACAAGAAAGCTGGCTTGAACACAGAATCCATGCTTGAGCATGAGAACGGCTTAATGAATACGGGCCCAGGAATTCGAAGCACATTTCTTTTACACTTTAATTTTTAGATTTTTCCAAAAAAATATTTTTAGATTTTTCCGAAAAAATTAAACGGCTGAAACCGGACGTATAAAATAAGGAAACTACCATCACTGTAGATAGTCAATAATACTACCCTGATGAATTGCTATCAAGGTGATAGCTATTGCAATTCATCAATAGCAGAGATTAATTTTGGATGTGTCCTTGCGGGATTCCTTAGGAAGGGTGTGTCGCCCGGCGTGCACTTATTCCTTCTGTTCACATGAAAAACAACATTTCTTCAAAACAATCCTGCATCCGCCCTTGAAGATTCACAGTTACATCAGACTAATAACCTCATACATGAAAACTCTGCCATTTATCTTTTTTAAAGATATTTCTTGTTTTAGCATAGGACTGAAATGCCCTCATAAACAGCATGGCAATACTAATCACTGCAATCAAGTAAGATGTACCGTTACTCTCTAAGTAATCTTACCGGCCGTTTTAGCTATGACTTTTGCTAAATATTTTGGTTTCACTTGAGACTTTTTCAGAGACATAAGGGGCCACATCTGGATCACAAGCTGACAGAAGGTTGGGTCTGAACGAAAAAATATAAACAATTATCAATCAAATCTGTAAAGACAACAAAATATAAACAGAACCTTATCCTGTATGTATGTCTTGCATGTCTAAGGAAAGTCATTTAACTTGAAAATATACGTCTGACACAGTGCCCTACATTTGATAGATAGGTCAAGCATGTATTCCTATAAACACATTGACCATCACACAGTTTCGTAAATGTTGTACTTCTACGTTAAGAGTCATTGAGCTAAATGCAAAGTCTAACTAAGATGTTCTAAATATATACGGAATGATGGAAAACTTGCAAGGCAAAACAATTAATTAAGTTTCCTTTTATGAAGGTAAATGTGATGTGGTATTTGTTACATTTTTTAACAGAAAAATGTTTAGGCCAAAAAAAATGACAACTTGGTTATCAGGCCCGCGCGCATTTCAATTAGGGCACTGCATTGCCAATTTTATCGTGAAAGTAATAAACGATTATGACTAAGTCTCATGTACAAATGGCGCTCATTTCGGTACAAATAAGGAATTGGGGGGGGGGGTCGTCGTAATTCTCATCTGGAACATCGTGGGCGGATTTACGGAGGCTTGCTCTATGACGGGTCTCTACACAACTATAAAATGACAAGGTAATGCCCACAATGAACGTTTTACAAACTACACAATAAAATAAAATTGCCCTCGTCTCATTTTGTAATGTAAAATGATAAAAAAAATACCTCCCTGCCGCATCTCTTTTGAAAAAAAAAATGGCTTGAGAACCATGTAATTAATTTTTTTGGCCTTATCAGTGATCAATTATCATATTTTTTTTGAGGTGAATATGTTCACTGAAATAAAAAAACAAACTCACTGTCATATTAGATATAAGTTATGCTGGTTTTATAATTAAACAAGAAGTAATAAAATCTTCAAAAGAAGGGCACTTCATTAAATTTGGCATAGGGCATTGTGATGTACGTAACAATTTGAGTGATATCATAAAGAGAATACTAACATGCTGCTTCTAAAACTAGTTACACTGGATCTATACCTTAACGTCATTATGATCCAGCCAATTAGGATGTAGGAAATATTTTATGTCGTCCAATATAAGAATTTACAGTAAAATTAAGTTGATGTTTTTTCTAATGTGACTAGTAACGCTTTTGCTGTTAAATGATGTCATGAAAACATATTGAGTTTGAACTGTAACCATGGTAACCTCTTGAGTTTGAACTGTAACATGGTAACCAACAGACTTTGAACTGTAACCATGGTAACCTATTGAGTTTAATCTGTAACCATGGTAACCTACATATTTTGAACTGTAACCATGGTAACCTACAGAGTTTAGACCTGACTTTCAGAACCTACTCAGTTTGAACCCTCTGAAGTCCACTGTAGTGATTTTACAAAACTTGGTCCGGTTTCTGATCCCTCGGAACACCACTAGATCAAAGTGAAAACCCATTCCTTCCTGGAAAATATCTGCATGGTCGGAACCAAGGATCTCTTTAAAACTGAAAGGCAAACAAAAGTCATTTATAAATCATATACTTAACGCACATACATTAGTACTAACCCATTTCCCCCTAAAATCTCATTTAAACCTTACCAAATGAACTGGGCAAATCCATTTTAAAACAATTTACATGTAAGGTTTATTTTAACTAACAGTTAAGCTCCCGAGCATATGTTTCTTTAATGATAAATTATTCCTAGTGTTAATGAAATCTATATTGTTCAAGTAGGATTTTTCATGATAGCATAGTACGACTCGACTCATATGCTTTGGTGACGGGATTATGTAATTGAATAAACACCATCCTTGTACTTGATATCAACGTATCAAACTCTTAATTTCTGGTACCAAATAACGGCTTTCCATACAAGAAGGCACAATTTTATTACACTTGTCATAGCATATAACACTTTATAAAAACATTTGAAAGGGGATATTCGTCTCGTGAACATCCTTTTTACAGAAAGGTTTGTCCCATGGTTGAGGGAAGGTGTTTAGCTCTGTACCGGTCACATTCTTGTAATAAATTTAATATATATTTATATATATCTACTTCATGTTTATGCCTATCATCATTGTTAACATTTAATTGTAAATGTATGAGACTATGACCGGAGAAGGCTGCGATAAAATGTGTGCCCAATTCCCTTGTTTATTTTATTATAAATATGTCTGAATATTGGCAAGTGTGCAAGTAACTTCTGATGATGAATAATTACTGATTCAATCAGTTTTAACACAGACTTAGAAATCATATTACTTGTTTTCATACAGTACGGTAAGAAGTTGCAGTTGCTTGACGAACCCTCTCTGGGGGCCCCCTTTTGAAACGTTTCATCTCGGTCAGACCACCTGTGTTTACTGCCTCGTCAGGTGACGTTATTGGCGCTATTTAAACAGGGTTTTCCCGAACAATTCAAGTGGTCAAGACCTTTAGAATGGAAAATGAATATGGGGATAGCGAGGTAACATAAGTGGAAGTGCATACAACACATACATTCATTAAAAAAAAGTATGGCTCTTAATGTGGTCCCTTTAATGAATCAGTGAGTGTGATCTCATGTGCAGGTCTGACTGTATACCTGTACTCTAAACAAAAGTCTTATCAATTGTGTAGTAATGTAAGTATCATAATGTACAATATATATGTATGTTGCAAAAGAACCAATATAACTAGTTATTATGCCATCGCTTCATCTGAACTTGAAAAAGAAAATCTATGGTATCTGTGAATAGAAAGTAACATTTACTGAAAGTGATATCTTAATATATAAAGATATAACATTTCATATGTTTTTTCATATTTCCCTTGCAGTGAAGATATAAGATTTTATCACACTGATAATTTCTGATATTTCAACCTTCACTTGAGTAAAAATGTAATAAATATTTCTATCTTGACCAAACAAACAATATTTGGTGTTTCCAGTAACCCTATTCTATTTTTTTGTGCCTTCCCTAAACTTTTTAAAGCAATTTTCAAAGAAGCACTGTTCAAGTCAAGATCACTCTCCTATATAAACTATAAAAGATTGCATGTTAAAATAAAATTACCTACCTATTATAGCTACCTACCCTAAAATTGTCCAACGTGTTACAGGAAACACATATATTTTTTGTCTGGTCTTACCATAGAAATATATTTGGTTTATTATCATTATAATTACCACAAGTCTTTCAGCGGCCAGTTAGACAGGATAGCACTGGCTGTCTCCGATTCTTTCTTCGCTATGGCTGCTCTCAATACACAAGGAGCTAAATGTGCTGGTATAGTCTTGATCGCTCGTTCCGCATTGCTAGGGATCTTGTTCAAGGCAAAACAGCTCAAGTTCACAAGATTATTTGGCTTGAGGGCTTCCTTGACCTTGACAGTGTTCTGGTTCAGGACAAGGTTGTCATAATTGACTTTGTCCAATGCCTTAAACATCCTGGCTGGCCGTTAACCTGTAACAAATCAATTCTTGTAATGCCTTTTCCAGCGTATAACATACAAATTGTATAAAGCCAACATTTTAACAACTCTGTTTTCATTTGACCCTTAATTGACATAGACTAGCAGTTTTTTAATAAGACTCGAACTTAAAGCTAAAGCTTAGCATTGGTAGCCAATTGCAACTATAGTTTGTGAATGAAATGTGATCAGAAACCGATAAGAATAATGAATGAGTTTCCATTTAAGGAGATATTAGATTCCATATAAGCCAGAGTCCATATAAGGACATAGAAATACTTTCATTTCTGCGACTCTGTATGTAAAGCAAACTTCGTAGGATGCTCCTTAATCCCCTAGACACCTGCGTTACCTAGCTCACGCATGTGTCAAAAACATACTCTCAAGGGTCTACTGATCATGAAAGCCCTGCCTATAGCTATCACTCTAGTATGACCTGAGCAACTGTCAAACAAATTGAAATATAACAGCATTTTAGCGTCAGAAGAAACTAAATCATGTACACCTGTAAATCTTGATCATGACCTAATTTCCCTATTAGACCCCATCTCATTGGTGGGGTTTAGGCCCCATAGGGCAAAAGTTCATAGCCTGATGATATAAAGTATAGATATATGTGGATAGGTAGGGACGTCGATAATTGTATCCACTATATATACAAGTTATGATCCAACTGTACCCATTTGGCCTAGTCTCAATGCACTAAGATGTGTCACACCAGTTTATACAATGCCAAATCCTGCTGGCCCATGCATGCATGCTCAAGAAAAAAAAGTCTGATCGTGATTCTCTGTGGGAAAACCTCATGAATATTGAATTAGAATCAGAATTAATGATATTTTCCAGCACAGGTTCCAATCTAAGGATCCTCTTCGCTGGACTCATTAGTGTTATTATTATAATTATATATGTTTCACTTCAGGTTGCTACACGTATCTTCCCTTTGTAGTTGTTGTACTTTACTTCCTGTCTGTTCCAGTAGTCTGACATCAAGTCTGTTTTGAAGCTATTAAGTGTCTTTGTGGTTACTATATATGTAATCAGGCAAATTGTTCCATACTGCTGTTGTTCTTATGGAGAATGCATTTTTTCCGAAGTGATGTTCTTGCATATCTAGGGAATATATTCATGGAGTTTGTCCTTGTGCTTAATTTATTTTCTGAGGTGTCGGACCACATCCTTATAAACTGTGTTGCTCCCTCATCGTATTTTCCTCTCACTGTATTGTACATGATATGATAGCTATAAAGAGATGTATCTCTATATAGCTATCATATCACCTCAAATACGCCTGTAGCTAATTCAGGGTTGGCAGTTTCAGCATCTTCAGCCTTTCTGGATACGACAGGTTTTCCATTCCAGGTACATGTAGTTTTTTGGTTGTCTTCTCTGAACTCCTTCCAGTTGTTCTGTATGTTTCATTTTGTAGGGTTTCCAATCTTTTGTCAAGATGACAAAAGCTTTCTTACCTTGTAGTAGGCCCTACAATATCATTAAGGGTGGTAGTTTTACCCTTAGCACGTCTAATACTTCTATCTTAACATACAGAGAGTTCAAAACATACATGTACTATTAGTATTTCAAATGCTAGGGTTCCTGATCATGACTGTTTATCACTTTATGATTGTAAAAGTGACAATGACCATGCATATACAAGTAGAGGCAGTTTAAATAATAGAATGATGAGACAACAGATTTTTTAGACAATGTTTTGCAATATATTGAACGCTTTACCTTCTTCCAACCTTTTTTGGAAACGCTGCAATTAGATTAACAGACGTATCTTCTCCATCCACAGATCATTGTGGATTACAAACTTTCTCCACTAAATTACGGTTGAGTAATTTTACAGACTTCACAGTAATATGGAAAGTAATTAGAAGTATATTTTCGAATGAAGATATATTTTGTTCACGTGTAAAATAAATCGTTTCATTTTCTATATAATAAGGTTAATTGTGTTAGTAATATTACATTTATAGATTAATTATTTAAATTCAAATATCAAATTTGTTTCGCATGTATTTTTCCAAATTTAAGAAATCATAGCCGGAAGTAAATGAATTTGTTGTTATTTGATACGGAAAGAAAGCAAGTTTAGTTCACCAAAATTCTATACAATGTCCGACTTTGATTGAGATTTGAGGCATTTTGAATATCAAATGTTATAACATATCACATAGAAAATAGTTTAAATAAACGTTTTGCTTGCTGAAACTATGGATATACAATTGTAAGTTGCACATGCGCACGTCAACTTTCGGTTTTGGAAACTCCACCATTCATTGTGTGTACCCTTCCAGGAAACTTACCTTGACCAGTGTATCAGAGCAAGATATGAGGTGTTTGTAAAGTTATTATACAGGTAAAATTTATTCTATTTAATTGCCAATACTAATTTGTAAGTTTTAGAAACCGAAAAACGGCATCTCGTATTCTAATAATGACCCGATATGCTAACGTTAGGTTGTGAGTGGCCCTATACCGTATGGTTATATTTCTCAGTGAAACAGAATTTGTTTTTTGTCGAGCTGTCAGATGATCTTAATCTTCACACCGTGTTACAGATGACAAAATATACTTTAAATTACAAAGAATGTTTTGTTTTGTGCTCGCCAGGTTAGAAATACTGAAGCCCAACCAGCATTTACAGAACCCGGTGATTTTGCAGTTTGGCTCTTTGTATTGGGTAAGGTCAGGAGAGATCACCGTCTAACATTCTTACTTATGCCAGTTTAGTTTCCACTCACAAATTCCTACGTTTGTGATACTTGTATATACATGTGTGTGTTGTCGAATATTTTTAGTGACAGCATTCTTAGTTATCATTCCACAATTTCTCAAAGATTTTACAAGACCAGACACAAAAAAACACAATAATAATATATCTCTCCTCTTCGTCTTTCCAAAATAATTATTTTTTTACTAGATTTTATGCAACATGTCCTCGTGTCTGACATGATTTTCATAGGCTAAACTTTTCAAATATATTAAAAATTATTTTGTGTCACCGGGTTCAGTAATAAAATGTAACAGAAAATGAAATTAAAGAGAATAATAATTCAAATAATGTGCATCCAACAGGGATCAAACCTGCTAACCCAGCTTGCCAGTCTGCTGTTTTATTGTTTGACCTAATATATATATAGTCATTCCCTCTAGCCGAAAGCTTTAAGAAGGCAATCATCATCCGTCATCCTTTTATGTACAAATGTACAATTCAAATCTACCACAAAAGTTTGAAGGTATCTTGCTCAAGGATATAACACCATGGACCAAAGTCTAGCCTCAACCACCAACTGGACAGTTACCTGTTTGCCTTTAGTTTAATATGCTATCCACTTACTTTGCTTTTGTGGCACAGAGCTCTTGAGAGATATTAATTCAGTGCTTATAACTTCTGGTTCTTTAAGACCAGGTCTATTTCTATTTTATATAGTGCTGGGAATCACTTGTAAATTCATATTCAATCATCACTTCCAATCAAATGACTGATAATCGACTAATGATCGATCAAATTAAACTTAATTCAGTAATTTAAGGTTATATTCGATTTCCGAAATCTACTTTCACTTTCGTTTCCAGGGAAACCTGACGTCAGAGAAATTCGCTAATAACACACAACATCCATACAAAAACAATACGTTTGTTGACAGAACCTTATAATTAATCAAAAATATGTATTTGGAAATGAAATTGATGATGTTTGCAATATCCATTATGCTGTGACAGCTGCATCTTGTATTCAGAAATGCTGCGATGGATTGGTATTCACCTGATGACACCCTGTCAAACTTAACATTTAATTTGTAAGATAGCCTACACTTTCGACAAAGCATTTTATTTATATCCAGCTGAAGGAGGAACAATACCTTCCAAACGTTTAAATCAGTAGCCCACAGATGATCATAAGAGTATTCCAGACGTTTATAAAGTATGCCATGGCCTATGACATCAAATGCAGCTGACAAGTCCAGCATGTCAAGCACCGCTCTGCCTTTGTTATCCAATGCAGAAGCTATGTCATTATGTACCCGTAGGATGGCCGTCTCAGTAGTGTCCAATGCGGTAGGCCGATTGCATGTTGTCATGGAGACTGATTGCATGGAGATGAACCTCTAAACGCCGGGACACAACCTTCTCCAAGATCTAAGACAGAACAGGCAGTTTTTAAACTGGGAGGTAGTTCTTCAACTCCTCCTTGTCCATTCCAGGCTTCTTTAACAATGGTCTCACATGTGCCTTCTTGAAACACAATGGAACCTTTGACTCAGCCAATGATTTGTTCATGATTGAGGTAATCAAAGGAACCAGTGCTTCAAGACATTGCTTTAATAGGTCTGTAGGCAGTGGATCTAGCTCACAGGACTTTGATTGCAAGGTCATGATTAAAATTGGGCAACTCATCCTGGGTTGTTAGTGGGAGCTTTGCCAATGCATATAGTTCCCCATCAAATTCAATGTCATCAGTCATATGACGGATATCATTGTCAGCAGAAAAGTTCACTTCGTCAATACCTTTCCTGATTGAGCTGATTTTATTCAGAAAGTAATCACTAAACTTGTTTGATAAGTCTTTTTCAGAATTACAGCTTGGTAGGATAATTTCACCTTTCTGGCCCATTAGGTTTTTGGTGAGTCTAAAAAGCTGTCTATGATCCTTACCACATTCTTTGAATCTTTCTGAATAATAATTATAAGCCTTCTTTGACTGAATGATAAGTGAACCAACTAACCGACATTGTTCCCTATAAAACTGTTGGTGAAAGGTTAATTTGGTCCGTCGCCACTGTCTCGCGGCTTTTCTACGGTTCTGTTTTTCTACGCAGAGATTTTCATTATACCACGTGTATGAGCTTGAGGCATTCGGTCTCACAGTTATCACCTTAGTCTGCAACGGTGCATGTTTCTCTATAAGGGCTTCTATACCAGATATGTATATGCTTCAACAAGATCATCAACCCTGCCTTCAGTAGATTGAAGGGCTGAAGAAGATCTAGACTGGATGTCATTGTTGAAATCTGGTATTGAAATTTCGTGGAATTTCTGGAAGCTCACCTCTTTCCTTGCACGATCTGGCTTACAACAATACAGTGTTGTGTGTACAGCAAGATGATCACCAGATTGGTTCCCCTTTACATCACTTAGACATGGATTCCTGGATCAATCACTTAAATTGCGCCATCAATGACTGAGTTATCTTCCCTCGTTATGACCACATCCAGTGTGTGGCGATGGGTGTGTGTAGCTTCTGTCACATGCTGAATCAGAACCCCGGAATCTAGTAGACCAGAGAACTGATGAGCGTCAACATTAGATAGAACGTCTAAGTGGAAATTTAGATCACCCGTGATAATAATCTCTTGTGGTACAACAACTTGGTGGTCTTAAAAGGTAGACCATTCATAAAAAACACTGTATTTCGGAAATTATTCTGTTTAGATGGAGGAGGCCTGTAAATGATACACAATCTAAATTGTTTATTACCAGCAATGACAGAACAAGTCATGTGCTCAAAGTGTGTATATACGTATGCATCATCATGGCTGGAAAAGAGATGTCTCACACTTAGGCCTTTCTTAAACAGAACAGCCACCCCACCACCACGTTTGCCGAGTCTAGCATTGTGGAGGAATCCATAGCCTGTTGGTATTAGCTCAGCTAGTACCTAGTCATCGATATCTGAACCTAACCAGGTTTCTGTCAATGCAAGAATGTCAATGTCCAGAGATGTTACAATTCTGCATGCGCAATGGACAATGACTTATTATTCACTTATTATAAGGACACTAAATTCAGAGGAATAACTGTGTAGTATGGCCCTGCAAGAAAGTGTACATGGCAGACAGACCATTTGTAGTGACCAAATGGATGAGATTATCAGTGTTCAGGCCCGAGTGGGTACAACCACTGGTTCCTTTTGATTTAACACCGATAACACTTAGTATTCGCCTAACAGCACCCTTTCCTGCCCGTGTCCCACGTCTAGTGCACAACTTCTTTTCCGAATTTGATTCCTTAAAATCCTCTAAAAGATGTGTAGTAATATCATGACTCACTGGTCTAAGTGCCAGGAGAACAGATCTAGATATACTTGAACATATATATATATGAATGTGATATCAACCTCTGTTGATGGAAGTAAAATATCACAGTATGGGTATTCATGGTTCTGAGGGGTTCCCACATTAGTCGCCTCTTCAGTTACGTGTACCGAGATGATATATATTAGAAATGATCCTACAACTTCTAGTATTTACAACATAAGCGGAACAACAACAAACAAAAAACAGTAGAACATCAGTGCAAAATGTCTAGAACATATATTTCAAATTTCTGATTTCGATTCCGACTCGCATTACAAATGGCATCAGAAAATTACTACAAATGGTATCAGAAAGTTTTAGTAAGACAACCGAGGTTCGGGTATCCCATTGCCAAGCATACACCAAATGCTTGAAACAAGGGTTGGTCACATAGGCACCACTGTAACAGGTAAGGGGAAAATGCAAGGCCAGACCAGGGTTACCAATCAAAACAGGGACCTTCCGAACTCTAGACAGATGCTCTACCAATTGAGCCCGTCCAGTTCCGCTATACCAGATACTGAGATCATCATAAAATACATGTACAGCATACCAAACAGAGGCCGTAAGGACAATACACGCTCTCTGCTGACCTCTCACCAGCTGATTGTTGTCAGACTAAAATATCACTAATAGGGGACTAACTCCATGGACAGCTTCTCAGAGTAAAATCTGGTTTATGGTTAATTAACTCATTCACCCCTGAAATTTCATAATGAACTATTCCAACCTTTGAATTGGAAGAGTTTAAATGTGTCTCCAGGGAGAATGAGTTAATCAAGTTAATGTACAGTGTAATAAAGATTAAACAAAGTAGATTATTTCTAAGAAGTAATCATTATTTCTATTGTAAGTTCTAACATGTTTACTTCACAGAGCAAACATGTTAGCATAAACAAATCAAGAATAAAGATCTGAAATAATATTTTTCAATAATATTAACAAATGTTACAACATTTCAATGTTTCATTCATTTTAACGATAGCATATAAAGATTAAAGGTTAATATAAAGATACATAATCAATGCAAATTTGTCTACTCTTAAACAGATTATCTGTTTTTTGAAAATATAGATCTATATACATCTCATGTAAAGTAAACCCAGACTTCATGCTGTTATTTTGCTTTTGGAACAAAACACAACAACCCTAACACATCCCCTTATCCAGCTGTGTTCCTTCACCAGGTAAGGAGTATTCCAATTAACAGGTACATAGAAAGGCTAAAGACCTGTCAATAACAAACTTTGTTGTTTGGTACATATATACACTGGGATTCTGTTTGGCTGTACCTGGTCAAGGCTACCTTGCATACAGGTAATTACTCCGATGTCAATTCTGTACACTGCACATACACCCATGTGGAGCACTGACATGTATCTATTTCTTGAGAAACCAACATTGGATAAGTATATATGCTTCCTTGTTGAAGCATTGCCCTTTTACCAGTACATACTTATATATCATTTGATGAAGCACTATACTGATTTTCTCACTGAAGTTAGTGTTACAGGTATATATCTAATGACTTTCATTGATGTGTTGATCACAGTATGCCTTCGGAAATTATGTTTATTCATGAACAAAAAGAACAAAAATTTAATGAGTACTAACATTTTTAGAGAAATCTTGACCAGGCTGTGAATTTAAAACTATTGGAGTAGATATATTGATAAAACATGATGGTTACCAGCGGCATTACCCACACATGGAAGGCGCACAGATGAGCACAGCTATTTAGGTCAACAAAACTTTAAACAGTGTATATTAAAAATAAAAAAGTATATAGACACAAAAAAAGAAATTAATATACATGATATGAAAAGGTAAAATATGTGCAAAATAAAAAGTAAAAATGCAGAAAACAATCAAAACAAAACGTAATAAAAATGGTCTACAAAATAAATAAGTATTCAAATTAAAAAGCATGCAAAAAAAACATGTGCAATTCATGTTTTCATGCATACTGTACATGTCTTTATTTCAGATTTTCAGTTTGAAGTAGCATGGTTCAATTCCAACTTAAATACTGAAGATGGCAGGAAGAAATCCAGTGCGAGAAAAGAAACGTTGCAGAGAGATACTTGGTGTTGCAGAAGGAGCAAGTGAGGGTAAGATAGCACACATTTATAGAGAGATTCTTGGTGTCTCAGAAGGATCAAGTGATGGTAAGACAGCACACATTTATAGAGAGAGATTCTTAGTGTCACAGAAGAATCAAGTGATGGTAAGACAGCACACATTTATAGAGAGATACTTGGTGTCTCAGAAGAAGCAAGTGATGGTAAGACAACACACACTTATAGAGATACTTGGTGTCTCAGAAGGAGCAAGTGATGGTAAGATAGCACACATTTATAGAGAAATTCTTGGTGTCTCAGAAGGAGCAAGTGATGGTAAGACAGCACACATTTATAGAGATACTTGGTGTCTCAGAAGGAGCAAGTGATGATAAGACAGCACACATTTATAGAGAGATACTTAGTGTCACAGAAGGATCAAGTGATGGTAAGACAGCACACATTTATAGAGATACTTGGTGTCTCAGAAGGAGCAAGCGATGGTAAGACAGCACACATTTATAGAGAGATACTTAGTGTCTCAGAAGGATCAAGTGATGGTAAGACAGCGCACATTTATAGAGAGATACTTGGGGTCTCAGAAGGATCAAGTGATGGTAAGACAGCACACATTGAGAGATTCTTGATGTCTCAGAAGGATCAAGTGATGGTAAGACAGCGCACATTTATAGAGAGATACTTGGTGTCTCAGAATAAGCAAGTGATGGTAAGACAACACACACTTATAGAGATTCTTGGTGTCTCAGAAGGAGCAAGTGATGGTAAGATAGCACACATTTATAGAGAAATTCTTGGTGTCTCAGAAGGAGCAAGTGATGGTAAGATAGCACACATTTATAGAGAAATTCTTGGTGTCTCAGAAGGAGCAAGTGATGGTAAGACAACACACTTATAAAGATACTTGGTGTCACAGAAGGAGCAAGTGATGGTAAGACAACACACATTTGAGAGATACTTGGTGTCTTAGAAGGAGCAAGTGATGGTAAGACAACACACTTATAGAGATACTTGGTGTCACAGAAGGAGCAAGTGATGGTAAGACAACACACACTTATAGAGATACTTGGTGTCACAGAAGGACCAAGTGATGGTAAGACAGCACACATTTATAGAGAGATTCTTGGTGTCACAGAAGGATCAAGTGATGGTAAGACAGCACACATTTAAAGAGAGATACTTGGTGTCTCAGAAGGAGCAAGTGATGGTAAGACAGCACACATTTATAGAGAGATACTTGGTGTCTCAGAAGGAGCAAGTGATGGTAAGACAACACACACTTATAGAGATACTTGGTGTCGCAGAAGAAGCAAGTGATGGTAAGACAGCACACATTTATAGAGAGATACTTGGTGTCTCAGAAGGAGCAAGTGATGGTAAGACAACACACACTTATAGAGATACTTGGTGTCGCAGAAGAAGCAAGTGATGGTAAGACAGCACACATTTATAGAGAGATACTTGGTGTCTCAGAAGGAGCAAGTGATGGTAAGACAGCACACACTTATAGAGATACTTGGTGTCACAGAAGGAGCAAGTGATGGTAAGACAGCACACATTTATAGAGATACTTGTTGTCTCAGAAGGATTACTGTTGCATGGTCCAAATATGAATCAAGATTTTGTGACCTATGGCTCTTCAATGGGTCAATTAAAAATGCAGGGCATTGAAATGTATGCATCTCTGGGAAATGCCAGTTAAAAATAGAAGTTCATAGACATGTAGTTCGAGAAAATGAGTCAAGAATTATTCACGAACTTTTTGTGAAATGTAGTTCATGAACCATTTAATGTTATTCTTATTCATGAACCAAAATTATTTATGAACATTTCATGACCTAAATGTTTATGAATTAATTCCATGAATAATACTTTTAATTTATTTAATTCAAACTGTTCATTATAGGTTTCGTAGGGGTAAATGCTGTAGACAACATGGCAAAAAAATCTGGCATTGACAGATTATGATCACTGCCGTTGTCGGATTGTAACTGCTGTTGTAACACTGAAGATGTAAAATAATACGTGTAGACTGTAAAAATCAAGTAACTATTAACTCATTTACCCCTGAAATTTCATTATGAACTATTTGAAGCTTTGAATTGGAAGAGTTCAAATGTGTCTTCTGGGTTGAATGAGTCAACTACTACCCTATTTAAGAAAACAGTTGTTGTTAATATTTTGATATATGTTTTGTTTTAGATGAGATCAAAAAGGCTTACAAGAAGCTGGCACTTCGCTACCATCCAGATAAGGTAACTATTTAGTTTTATTACATAGAGAAATTAATTTTCTGTCATTTATAATGATTGATTTTGAAATTTTGTGAAAATTGTTGGTCTTAAAATTTTACATTTTTTTTTTTAATTTGAAAAGTTGTTCTGTTTTGCCTGACCAAGAAATCTATCAGTTGATTTATTCGTGTCATAGAGAAATAATCTTCAATCCTTCACTAATTTGTCACCCACATTTATGGGTGACTTCTTTGTCAGCTCACTGAAGCTTCAAACATGTTTTAAGACACAATGAAAAACAAGTTGTCACTTTTTGTCTCGCCACTACAAAGTAACGGTAGTGAGAATTAGGTGTTGCTTTTCTGGCGACGGCTGCGACAGCGTCAACATTTTCTTTTTGTGCTCAAGTTAGTTTCACTGAAAGTATAAGTGCTACACTAGCCAAACTTGGATCACTGAAAGTATAAGTGCTACACTAGCCAAACTTGGACCATAAATGCATCTTAGGTAGTACATCTCAACCCATGCATCAAATGCTGGATGTGACCTACCTTTAATGGTCCATTGACTTTGTCCGGATCTCCATCAACATTAAGTTTTTGTGTTTAATTTAGTTTCTCTGAAACTATAAGTGCTACACCCACTAAACTTGGAACACAGATGCATCTTAGGTAGTACATCTGCATACATCAAAGGCTGGTTGCGGCCTACCTTTCATGGTCCATCGATCATGACTCCGTCAGCATTTCAATCAACATTAAGTTTTTTGCGTTTAAGTCAGTTTCTCTGATATGTGCATTGATGGTCAAAGCGGGGCACAGGCGAGTCATATCAATCCGAATGGCTTGTTATAATCACAGGGTTTGCAGTATGGACCCTTGAAAATATCTTTTTGACCCTGCAAAATGAGCTTTAACTATTGGGATTGAAAGAACACATCGTTTTGTCATATGTTTTGACACTCTTTAATCAGAGAAATGCAATTTAACTTCCAAAATTGCTAAATGTCAAGGGTCAGCTGAAAGACCTGATTCAGCTGATGTTATGCTTAACTGGTCTCAGTGTTTGGGGTGGAATTTCATGTTTATCTATTTTTTGTTTTCTTCATGTTTTTCAGAATGACAGTAAAGATGCAAAAGAAAAATTTCAAGAAATCAGCTACGCATATAAATATCTCACAGAAGGTAAGTCTGCCTGGATCTCCACTCTGTGGCCATAATGCAGGGGAGATATTGTTTTCCTTGACAGGTGTGAGATATCCTCGTCTTACTCTAGGGTTTGGGGGGTGGGGGTGCGGTAGCCAAGTTGTTAGGGCGTTTGACGTTCTGCCACCGCTAGCCCTCTACCCCTGGGTCGCGGGTACGAGACCTACGTGGAGCAGTCGCCAGGTACTGGCCGTAGGTCGGTGGTTTTTCTCAGGGAACGCCATCTTTCCTGCGCCAATAAAACCTGACGTTAGCTGTTAATAGGACGTAAAACACAATCAAAACCAACACCAAGCCAAACTTCCCCAGTCATAGCAGCGGTATGACATCACGCCAACAATGCGTCAAAGTTTCATCAACAATGCACGAACATTGCATCAACAGTGCTTCAACGTTACATCAACAATGGACAATCAACAAAGTTAGGAGGGGAAAACTTGAGTTGGACTGTCTGTCTGTCTGTCTGTCTCTCTCTCCATTGTCTGTCTGTCTATTCCATTCAAAGTGCTGCACTGATTTTGAATTATACCTTGGTACACATAACCCTTACATCGAGGGGATGTGATCATAGTCAATGATGTATTTGTATTAGAGTAACCTTCCCTTACTATGAAGTTATGGCCCTCTGTTTAAAATACTTTGTTCGCGCTACTACTTTCTAAGCACTGCATCAATTTAAATGATACTTTGTAGACATCACACCTTACATTGAAAGGATGTGCATTAAGTTAATAAGGAGTTACCTCCCCTTTTTACGGATTTATGTCCCTTCGATTGAAATATTTTGTTCGCATTACTCCTTTCTAAGCACTGCATCAATTTAAGGTAGCTCCATACATCATCATCAGCGTCCATTTTCGTGACGTACTTCTGGAAAAAGTACGGCTCGGACTCAATTATCTTGATCGAAATGTGCATGTACACCGTGTTGTCATTTCCGTATTGCGTATCGGGCATTCAGTATCGTAGTGCAAATTATAGTAACACCTGGGCCGTTTTCGTTTTAAACTGTCAAACCGATCGGACCACTGTTGTTCGTTTATTAAATAAGGTCGGACCTAGTATACTGGTGCTGTTTTAGGCGAGCCTTGAGAAAGCCTTGCAAGGCCTGCATACACATTTGCAGGTCCGCCAGGATTTATACCCGAAATTGTTACATTTATAAATGGTCAAACCGGTTGTTCCGCATAAACGAACAGGCCCCTGGTAAACAATAGTGCACGTGCGTGCCGATGATATGTCAACACCCGATATAGAGATTTTACCGGGAAATGTATAATCACACGTACTTCAGGAGTAGAGCTTTCCAATTCATAGACATAAACAGACTCAGGGGAAGACATTGACATGAGACCAGACGACCTCAAGAAGGTCATATAGGAAACACATGGAATGCGGACATATACCGACCTCACATGTGCATATCACGTGCTTACACGAGTTCATAAGCACGAGGTCTTTACGATTTTCGCTGTTGAGGGAGTTTCGCTCTGTCGATTAAATCATGTTTACAAATGTAGTCTACTTACTCTGTGAAAATAATGTTTTGTAAAATATCAAGATACCGATGAAATGCATGTGTGAGTGCACGTGAGAACGGCATACCATGCGATAGCCTCTGGTCACATATGTACCTGACATGTAATTATAAATATACCGTGAGTTAGCGGACTGTGGAATGATGTCCAAAGTGTACATGACTGAGGGTAATTTGGTTCCATTAAAGAACAATAAATTGATAATTTTGATATCATATTTTTGATTTATTTCCATCATTTTTGTTATATGTAAACAGAGACAACTGTCATTGGGTAAATGTCATCCCTCTGCAAAAAGTTCCGATTTATTTCAAGGAAGATAACTCTCACCCGGATCAAAGTGATTGTAAAATGTAAAATAATTTAATTATAAAGCCATTGTGTATATTTTGTTCAATTTCCCATTTTATATTTATAGATCTTTGTGTCCTGTTTGCTTTTAGCTTGTAGATAATCACTTTTATCCGTACAAATTCAATAAAAAACACTTTGTGTAACATGTGTTACATATTTTGCGATAAACAAAATATTTGTAGGGTTAATTAGAAATGCTTCTTTTCATTTTATTATTGCTGTTATTGTTCCGAACAATGCCACACACACACAAAAAACGGAAAATATTAAAATTGACGAAAATTCATTTTTTTTGGTATGTTTTCCAAAATTGACATAGTTGCATAACCATTATATGAAAGTTTCAACGAGTTTTGCTGGTTAATTGCGAAAGTGTGAAGCCACCTTAAATGATACCTTGTAAACCTCACACCTTACTAAGTAGGAGTTCCCTCCCCTTTTTATGGAGTTATGTCTGACATTGTTTGCACTGTTTCCTCCTAAGCACTGCATCAATTTTGATGTTACTTGGTATACATATCCCTACCAATAAAGGATTTAAATAAAATACAAACATTGGAGTTACCTCTATTTATGGAATCTGCCCTTTTGTTTAAAAACATTGTTTGTCTAAGTACAGTAGATTTGTTACTTCTCATTTGTCAGATAAAACATGATATAAACTGGAATGTGACAACAAGAGAAAACATGTTGTTCTGATGTTTTGAGCTGTCTAAACCTGGAAGAGACCATATTCAAATGTCCAATTAATGTGGTTTTACAAAGAAGATCCTTAAGTAAAAATATTTGTAACTGAAACAGACTTTTTCTTTAATAACAGTGAAATAATACTCTAGCATTGTATGTTTGTATTCCAGGACCAAGTGCCATGGGAGGAGACCAGGGAGGGATGGAAGGTGAAGGTATACCGGTAAGTCTGTCAGAGACAACGGAGCATTTCCAAGACTTCCCTCAATCTAATCTTATTTCAAGAAACTCAATAGATAGATAGGCATTATAGACTCAAGAGGCCTGCCGGCCGCCTGTCTTAGCAGTACCTCACTTCTACCTTCTTCCTACACACTTTACCCTAGGCAGATCTTATTAAGTATCATTCAATCTGACTGGTGGATTATTTCTGTATGTAATATTTCTCTAAATATAACCCACTGATTATACTTTTTTTTTTTACATGTACTGAGTTTTTTTCTATATATGCATAATAGTATCATAAGATAATAATATCGTAAGATAATAGTATTGTAAGCTAGGATGAAGTATATTAGATAGTTCTTAGGAATTGAAAATGAAAGTAGAATTTTCTTTTCTAGAATTTTTCAACACTGTGTATATGATTTAGCACTAATCTTATTTTAGTGTTTTTTCCACTTGAAACATTGCACTAAATTAGGATTGCACTAATTGAAGTTTCTGTTTATTGTTTTCTGCAAGTGCTTCATGATCAGTTTATCAATACATACTGTACCTGTTAGTATTTGATAATGTGCTAAATCTTGAGTGCACTAAAATGGGTATGTTTGCATTATCATTCAGTGCCAAGTTAAAGTAGAATAGATATCTAGCACAACTTAAGTAAGCTACAATGTTTAACTCATTCACCCCTGCAGACACATTTGAACTCGTCCAATTGAAAGTTTCAAATACTTCATTATAAGAAGTCAGGAGTGAATGAGTTAATGTGTACACTACTTTCTGATTGATTGGTTAGTTTTGCAGATTCACTTTCATAATCGATATACTATATTTTACTGGTTGAGTTGTGTGTTTCAAACTGAGCAAATATTTTTACTAGGGCTGCAAAGATACACACACCTCACAGTATGATATGTATCAGGGTTCAATGCTTACGATACAATACATATCATGATACAAATATCTGCATAAAAGGTTGACTTCATAATGATTGAGTGAAATCAAAATTTGTAAAGTACTATCAAAATATATTTTTGTATAAATTTCTAGTATTTTTCGGTATGACTGAAAGGTTGATCATGACCATATCTTTACTGAAGGATTAAAAAAATAAGTACACTTTAAAGAGTTAGATAACAAAATGAGTGATCATTTAGGTACTGTTTGTGGATCATGATACAGGCAAACAAAACAATTTGATACAATACACGAGAAAGTATCACGATATCATTATGATATATCATTGCAGTCCTAACTATTACCTTTTTTCTCTGGTAAATGCCCAATTCCATCATCTGTTTCGACATATACACAAATGAAGCACAAAGTTGACGACCACATTATGTTAGCTTGCAGATCTCTTGTTAATTGAAGCATTTTCTTTACAGTATGACATCCTGGTGAGACTGTTCCCCTGGNCCCCCCTTGTGTCAGCACTACAGTGAATAAATACCAAGACTCCAGACATTTATAAAACCTTCGAAAGATTTAAAACTCTTGATTTTGGAATATAATTATTTAGGACTCCACAACTAAATCATTTACTATATGTCATTACTAAGCTTTTGAGCTAATAGCGTTAATATTTGAAGTTTAACAGTAGTGACAACTGTCTAGATTCAAAGACACATACCTGACAAAGGCTTCAAAAGGCATTTTTTGGTAAGTTTAGTGGTATATAAGAGCGCTACAGGCGTCTACTTTTGACAACCGGAGGTTTGCAAGCCAAACCGGTTTATATGTCAACAATTACCTATTTAAATTACTCAGAGGCACTGTATTAAACCGGAACAAATGCTGGGTAGGGATTACAATCATAAAAACATTTGCTGATTGGCTGATTTAGTTGTGTGAGTCTTTAAAAGCTCACCTGGTCCAAATAGTAATATTGTTTTATTTTTAAAAAAAGACTATTTTTCAGAAGGGTTGAATGAATTTTGACTTTATGTGGAATTGAGCATCTATGCCTCAAGGATATGTTATATATTTGAAGGGTAAGGGCAGGTCCTTTATACAAAAGACAACTTGCAGTGCTATTTATAGAATAAGTTGTCCTAAATTTGAGTATTTGAATACAAATTTACATGATACTACTGTCATGAAAAATATCCAGGGGTAGAATTCAGGACTTACCTTTTGCCAATATGAAATTAACAAAATGTAAAAAAAATTCACACATCCTCCTAGAACTTTCCTGCCAGTTAACTTTGCTGACTTTTACTTTGTAATGATGCCAGTATGTTGTTCCTTTACAGATATGGGAGTTGGCTCCCCTTTCATGTTTGGGGGGCCATTTGGTGGCGGTGACGGTGGCTTATTCGGAGGCAGTCCTTTCGGTTTCCAACGCACACATGGGGCATCCTTCACTTCAATATTTATGGGGTTTGATGACGGTTTCTTTTTTGTTGATGACGACAGTGATAACTACTATGGAATACCGTCAGGATTTTCTCATAGGCCACATGTACGACAATCCTGTAACCACAGCAACCACAGACATTCAGGTTCCCGCTCCTCTGGTCAAAACAAAAACAGTTCTCGAGGTTATGGTAGCCCCCATTATTCACAAACAGGACAGAACATGTCTTCAGCACAAGCCTACGGTGGGGTCAATCCTAAGAAAACAGCGAGCAAAAATGCAACAAATTCTAGTCAAAATAAGGAGGAGTATGTATCACAGCTACCCCAACAAACATCTGCGCCAGACGTCAGTAAAAAGAAAAAGAAAAAGAAAAAAAAGAAGTCGGCCAATCAAACAGAAGGTACAGTAGAATGTATTTCCTGTTTGTTTCATTAGATATATTTATTGTCTTGCCTCGACAAAGTAGCAGAAGCGAGACGGGGGATATCAATTTGGGTTTGTCCATCTGTCTGTCACGCTTCGTTTCCGCGCAATAACTGCAACAAATGTTAACCAATTTTCACAAACTTTGTAATAGGGTTAAATGCCTTAAGGGCTCGACCAAGATCGATGACCACTTTCAGCGGACTTTATTTGGCAGAGTGATGGCCCCTTGAATAACGAAAATTCAAGCTTTACATTATGTCTCAACAGCACGATACTCACATGTTTAAACCTAACCTCAATAATGTTTACCTTCAATATGTCCTGCAAGCAGGGAATGTAAATTCCACGAATTTGCTTGTTAATTTGTGCAGTGTTTTGGTGCTGAAAAATATATGATGTAAGGGTGCGCAAATTACATAAAAGTTTACAGATGTTTTCAATTTTTTTATATTCCACTCAAATAAATTTTCAAGGCAGGCCTATTTTCGTAACAGGTTTATATTTGAGACATATTTGAATGCAATGAATCCAAGGCTTGTTGTCAAAACCAGCCTATTTTCAAATCAGCTTATTATCAACATTTTGGGATATTTTCACAATTTTGTATCATTTTTGTCTCGCCGACACAAAGTGGAAGCAAGACTAAGGTGTTGCTTGTCTGGCGGCGGTGTCAACATTAAGTTTATGCGTCAAATGCTGGATGCGGCCTACCTTTCATGGTCCATTGACTTTGTCAGCATTAAGCTCTTGTGTTTAAGTTAGTTTCTCTGATATGTGCATTGATGGTCAAAGCTGGGCGTAGACGAGACATATCAATCTGAATGGCTTGTTTACTGTCAGAGTTATCTCCCTTGTCTTTCAGACGTCTCGGCTCAAACAGATGAGACACCAGTTCCCCAGGAAAGCCCCCATATAGAACAAGCTGAAACCCCCGAGATAGAAAAGGTTGATGTGAAAGAGACCCCAAAGAGCTTTTCAGCACAAGAAATGAAACCAAAAGAGGTTTGGTCTTTTGAATTCTTAAATATCACTGTAAAGTTTGTAGTCTATACACTATATTTACCAATGTTCTCCAAGGATATTTAGACGATGTGAGTGGTTCAAGCTATGCTTTGCAGAGCTATATGTTAACTTCCCGTGAATATTTTTTATACAAAAACAACAAAAATACAATAATACACAACCTTCTCATGCGAAATAGCTAAACATGTCTTGCAATGGTGTCTATACAATGTAAAATACAGTTAAAAACTTCAAAATATTTGAATAAGATAATAATAGAAAACTTACAATCTCAGGTTATATTGTATATTTATAAACTTTGTTATGGATGTATTCATGTGCTCTCTGCTATTTCTGAACATTTGTTTCAGATTGGATTGTAGAAAGGTTTATGGAACACGACCAGTGAATTGTACTCTCTCACCTTCATCAGACAATTGTTAAAAATGGTATGATGTAGGTAACAGAGTAAATAGTGTACTTGGCATAAAAAAGTAACACATAAACATCCTAATTTCTACAATGGGATTGATTACTGCATCAAAATGGTTATGGTAAGACTCCATCGTTGTTGGCTGCAGGCAGGAGTTCCCTCCCCTTGTCCATCATTTTGAAGTTTCATATTTTTCTGAGCAGCTTTTTTTGTTTGTTTGAGGGGTAACACGTCGGCTTCACTACCGAGTAGTAGTTCGGTATCCAGCAGAGGATTCAGAGCTAATCTGACTTTTTTGACATAGATAACTTTGTATGTTATCTCCTATACTGGGTAGGAAGGACGAGTGCTAGTCCTTGTATTGGGTTACAGGCTGATTTCGTTCTATTTAAGGTTCCACAGAGACTCAACAAGAAAGCGAGAAGGAAGTTATTGAGAGAGCAACTGAGGAAAGAAAAGGTCAATATCACAAGTCACTGTAATCATGTAACGATAGAACAGCATTTATCAGTTTCATGAAAAATGAAAAAATTCCACGGCTTGTAGCTTAATCAACAATTGACAATTATTTTATGCTTTGGGATTATGAAGTGAACTTTTTTTCTCTCTTAATATGTACATGTGTCATTTTTGTTCTTCTTTCTGAAATGAGATTTTAAAAATAAAATATTTATTAATTGATTCATTGACTTGATAAATGACGAATCATAGAAATCGATCTCTAAAAAATCTTGGCAGGAAATGTGAATTTTAAAAATGCTTAAATTTTTAAAATGTTCTTAAAGTTAAAGATCCCTGTACCATTTACCAAAAACTGAAACTGTTTTTACCGACATGACCAAAGCATTTTTAAATTTCTAAAAACAAACCCCTGCCTTTCAGATCTACAGTCACTCTGATTTACATAACAGCTGTGGAGTTGGATAAAATAATCACAAATATAAGATCATGTACTCTTAATCATTTTGTAGCTACACGCATTACTTAATTAGGGCCCTGCATCAAAGACACAGGTGCCCTATAGTAATCACAGTCTGTCCATCCTTCTGTCTGTCTGTCTGTCTGTCAGCACTTTTGTTTCCGGAGATTATCCAAAACTCCAAGAGGCCAAAATTTCTAAAACTTAACATGTTGATACACTGTGATATAATGGGCTGGGGGTTTCACAATTTATCAGGTCAAAGTTAAGGTCACTGTTACTGAAAATAGAACACATACTCTTAATTTTGTGGCATTGTGGCAAATGATACAGATTGACTATGTAAATAATGTCATGACCTATTTCCCAAAGTCCAAGATGGTCAATGTAGCTTTTGCTTGGTTCTTAAATGGGGGATATATAGTCAGTCACACAGCGGGGCCCTTGCTAGCCTGTCAGTGTTCCAGTTGTTTTTGTATTCAACATAATGTATCATCTTCTTCATTTAATTACTAAATATTATGTATGTGTATCAAGAAAAGACAAGAAACAAACTCTGAATGATAATCATATCCCCATTCTCATGTACACAGGAAAACCTCATAGTTTTACCACACATTCATGATGAACAATAATCTCACCTCCATTCTTCCCTGCAGGAAAACACTCAGAGTTATTCCTCTGCTAAATATGATGATAACACACAAAACAAGGAACAACAGCGCCCCCTTGTGGAAGACCTGGGAGACATAGATGATAATGAGGATGTAGACAGTGATGAAAGCGACAGTGATACCGACACAAAAGACGACACAGAGTCGTCTACGTCAATCACCAACAACGAACCAGACATCGTGACTGAAGGTAGGTCATCAACAGTCAACAGACCCATGGATAGGTAAGCAACATGCATTAGAGCTGCAGGTAGGTTGGCAACAGATATTAGGGCTGAAGGTAGATTGTCAACAGACATTGTGACTGAAGGTAGATTGGCAACAGACATTGTGACTGAAGGTAGATTAGCAACAGACATTATGGCTGAAGGTAGATTGGCAACAGAAATTAGGGCTGAAGGTAGATTATCAGCAGACATTGTGACTGAAGGTAGATTGTCAACAGACATTGGGGCTGAAGGTAGATTAGCAACAGACATTGTGACTGAAGGTAGATTGTCAACAGACATTATGGCTGAAGGTAGATTGGCAACAGACATTAGGGCTGAAGGTAGATTATCAGCAGACATTAGGGCTGAAGGTAGATTATCAGCAGACATTGTAACTGAAGGTAGATTGTCAACAGACATTGTGACTGAAGGTAGATTGGCAACAGACATTGTGACTGAAGGATAATTGGCAACAGACATTAGGGCTGAAGGTAGATTGGCAACAGACATTGTGACTGAAGGTAGATTGGTGACAGACATTGTGACTGAAGGTATATTGTCAACAGACATTAGGGCTGAAGGTAGATTGGCAACAGACATTGGGACTGAAGGTAGATTGTCAACAGACATTGAGGCTGAAGGTAGATTGGCAACAGACATTGTGACTGAAGGTAGATTGGCAACAGACATTGTGACTGAAGGTAGATTGTCAACAGAAATTGTGACTGAAGGTAGATTGCAGACAGACATTGTGACTGAAGGTAGATTGGCAACAGACATTAGGGCTGAAGGTAGATTTGTAACAGACATTGGGGCTTAAGGTAGATTGTCAACAGACATTGGGGCTGAAGGAAGATTTGCAACAGACATTGTGACTGAAGGTAGATTGTCGACAGACATTAGGGCTGAAGGTAGATTGGCAACAGACATTGTGACTGAAGGTAGATTGGCAACAGACATTGCGAAGATTGGCAACAGACATTGTGACTGAAGGTAGATTGGCAACAGACATTGGGGCTGAAGGTAGATTTGCAACAGACATTGGGGCTGAAGGTAGATTGTCAACAGACATTGGGGCTGAAGGTAGATTGGCAACAGACATTGTGAAGATTGGCAACAGACATTGTGACTGAAGGTAGATTGGCAACAGACATTGTGACTGAAGGTAGATTGGCAACAGACATTAGGCTGAAGGTAGATTGGTAACAGACATTGTGACTGAAAGTAGATTACCAACAGACATTAGATCTGAAGCTAGGTTGATGATTAACAGACATTCAGACCCACACATAGGTTGGCAACACATGTCCTAAAATTAGGTGTAAAGATTTTACAGGAGTCCTTATTCATCTTTCACAATGCATCAGATTGTCCTCGGCATATTATACAAGCACTGTTACTTATAGTAGCCAAACTTTGTGTGAGTAACCCTTTAGAAGGCAGACTGTCATATACAGAAAGCAGATCTTGTGTCCCACTTAAACCATCATGGCTCTTTGTTCATTTTGTCAAGAGATGGAACACATGTAAAACTTTAATGCTAAATATTTTCTAGGGATAATGATTCAGTGTTCTCAATATCCATTTGTAATAAGGCCAAAACAAAAATTATTTGTGTTTCAGGTAACATGCCAGAAAAAAAATGATAGGTTGGTGGGCAAATAACTATACCCCCCACAACGGCGTTAGGGTGGGGGGTATACTGGAATCACACCGTCTGTCTGTTGTCCGCAGTAATTTGTCCAGAAAACTCCATCTTAACTAACCAGCAGATTTTATTGAAACTTCACTTGAATGATCAGTATATTATGTAGTTGTGCACTTGCATTTTGTTTCAAGATTTAGCACTTTTTAAGGGAGTTACAGCCCTTTATGCGAAATAACTTGTCTAGAAAACTCCATCTTAACTAACAAGCAGATTTTATTGAAACTACTTGAATGATCAGTATATTATGTAGTTGTGCACTTGCATTTGAATTTAAGATTCAATACTTTTTAAGGGGGTTATGGTCCTTTATTTATATTGATGAAACCTCGCCTATATGTAAAGAGCCAAAATATCTCTAACGAGTTCCTATTTCAGTGAGTTGACCCCAAGCTCAAGGTCAATAAATTATGTAAAAACTACCAGCATCTGCAGGGAGTATTAGTTATCCTCGGGATGACAGTTCTAGTTTAATTTTGATTTAGTTTTTTCATTTTTTTAACGTATCAGTGTTATGCATTTTATCAAATTTTACAATGTTTTCCACACATTATGATGGCTATTAAGCTGTCAGGAGGGGATCAAGCTCACAGAACAGGAAAAAAAAGTATATTTCAATGAGTTACTGTGAGCTTTACCTGGATAATTAATTAATCTTAGGTACAAGTAGGTGATAAAATGTTCTAGGGTCCGCAGCAAAATCGAGGTTAGGTTGGGATACTTGAAACACATTTTCTTTTTTTAGCCTAAAAAATTCTATTGGTAAGTTTTTGTTCTGTCATTAATCATTGATCCAATAAAATAACTGAATACAGCTACCAAGAATTTTGATAAGCTGACACACTACAAATGTAAAATTTTATTTTTCTTCAGACCTGAGTGGTCAAACCATTCTGTTTCAAATTGTTTTGGTGTTCACTGTTTTGCAGATATTTTTTGAACAGTTGAGCTATGCTGTCTTCCAACAGTTCTGGTGTTTTTGTTTCAGATTCTCAGAACTTGCTGGAGAAGAAGTCTAGGAGGATGAGGAAAAATGGTAAAATAGGAATAATTTCACTTGATAATTTAAAATTAACGGTGGATAACTGGATGTCAGGATAAGATTTTGGCCAGATTGCAACGCAATTAGGGCTAATAGATTGGCGATTCCCTTCCGTCCATCCGTCTGTCTATCTGTCTGTCTGCATTTAGGTGAAAAAGAATGGTTAAGCTCAGTTTACAAGTTATTAATTATCCCACATCAACTAAACTTGCATGGCTTATGTATCTAAGGATGCTTATCACATGCGATGCTTCGGATACTGGTTCTGACCTACATTTTCCACTTGACTGACCAGGTTAAGAAGATTGGTTTAGGTTAAGGTCAGGCCCCATCTGCACTTTTGTTAAGAAGATTGGTTTAGGTCACTTACCAAATAACTACTTGTAACATTGTACATCAACTAAATTTGCATGGCTTATGTATCTAAGGATACTGATTACACGTGATGCTTGGGATGCTGGTTCTGACCTATTCAATGGTGCGGTTACATTTCAATATCCTCATCTTGAAAATATACTGTAGCAATCCCGCCATATGGCCATTAGCGGTTTCTTGTCTGAATTGGTAGCTATAAATTGTGAACAAGAGAGTCTAATATATCGGAGGCCTTTTAATGTTCCCGATAACAGAGAATGATGGTGAGACGGCAAGATTCCCAATACAGAACAGTATTGAAAAATGCCAATCGGTCACCTGAAAAACTGGCTGGATAGCAAGACAATTATATAGTGTTGCTGGTATAAACGAGTTAAAAGTAAACCTCATTATACTGCCAACAGGTGATTTTTGGCATTATAAAGAGGTTTGGTGATAATTGAGGGAAATTTATACAGGAATTCATAAGAAAACAAGAAAAATGGACATTGAACTATGTTGGCAGTAAACAAGGTGGCAACTGAAACGAGGGGCAGTATATCGAAGTTTTACTGTATAATGTTTTCATGTTCACACATATATGTAAATGTATTGTAAGGATGCATTTTACTTTAAAAGTCAGCACTCCTGTAAGTACGATATATTATATATTACGCTATTGATGTTACAGAGAAAAAGAAGCAGAGATGTGAAGATGAGGGTGATCACTTGAGACGAAATAATATTAATGAGGAATACAATGACCTGCTCCCCAAGTCGGCACAGGAAGAGGAAGAAATGATTCGTATTGCTATGGAGATGAGTAAACTGGAGGACGAAAAGGAAGCAGAAATGACCAGTGGACATACATCTACCAAGGTAGGGAAAAGCAAAAATGGCGGTACTGTCCTCAACGGTATCCAGGACATTGGAAATAGCAATCAATCTGCGAACTGTGCAAATAAGAGCTCTGTAAGAAGGGAGACAACCACTGTGCCAAATAATAATACAGATCTCCAAAATGATAAGCCTGAATATAATCCCCTGGAATCCTCGGAAAGAAAGCCAGGGACTTGGTATGACAGTATAGGCACCATGCCTTTTCAGGATTCTGGTGATGCTGACTTCACGAAAACTTATTATAAGGAAGTAAGCAATCCTGTTGGCCAAGGACTCTTCTCTCTCGGCATACCTCCGCAGGATCCAAGTGTGCAGGAGCCCTCCCGATTATCCTCCATAGACTCCGACACAGGGTCAGCATTTAGTGGTTCTGAAGTTTTTGATAATTCTCAATTCTTTAGATCTAGTGGGACTCCTGACAAATGGAAAGAAGCCCCACCAAACATCTCTAATACACAACTTCATGGAAAGTCACAGTGGCAACCTGTACCGGAAAAACCATCAACGGATAAAAGTATGTCTCAAAACTCCAAATCCTCTGTGGATAATCAAGGGTACAAGCAAGATCTGTATCAGAATACGTATGGATTTGATGTGAGTCAAGCGTCTAAGCAAGCATTTCCAAGAGACCAATATGGTACAGACTACCCAACAGGAATGTTCAGTGAGTCTCGTCGCAATGGGCCAAGAGACCCTTATGACACAAGTCGCCCCACCAAGCCAAGTCCTATCCAGCCACCTTTCACAAATCAAGGCTCAAACCGTCGCGAACAAAAGACGTCAGCCAGCTATCCATTCCTTTTTCAAGGGGGATCTAGAGAGGCTGTTCCTGATCCTTACAGTCCACACAGGGAAACCAAACTATTACATGGAGGTCCCACCATGCAGGAACAAAAACAGCAAAATGCAAACAACTTTTTGTATCAATCGGATTCAAAGATCAATCAGGAACAGTATAGTTTTTACAGAGACCCAACAGTGTCTTCCAACAGACCTAAAGGATTCGGGAAAGCCGAAACGCCGTTGGATTTTTATGGTGGGTCTTTGTACACCCCGAAAAGTACCAAGGAATCTATAGCTGACGTGGATCCAATGAGTTTCTATATAGACACAATGATATTCCAAAAGAACTCTAAAGAAGCATCCAGTCAGGAACATCCAAAGACTAGTGTGTATGGTTCAGACTTTATCCCCAAAACTGATATATACAGTCAAAACAACACAACGTGTCAAAACACTACAGCAACTTCTAATAATGCTGATCAAACAAAGATGTACGAAAGTCACTTTGGGAACCCCAACGGTTACTCAGGTGACAAGATACAGAGCAGTGGGTTGTTTGGGGCCTCTCAAGGGAGGCATGCAAGAGTACCAATCAACACGGAGCAAAGCCGACTTTTTGGTGGTGCTTATGGATCGAACATCAACCTCAACAATCAGACATCATTGAATACAAACACAAGCCAGATGTATGGGAGTCCTCAAGTTAACCCCCACAGTGCCCCGACAGGTAGAACGAACAGTATGCCTTACAACAGCCAAGGTCACCCTGCTGGCGGGTATCTATCCAAGGACACCAGTAAGTTATACGGTGGCCAGGTCAGATCTCAGGTGAATCCCATAGGGAGGTCGTACAGTGCACAGGGCAACCAGAACAAAAACTCTATACCTGGTGGGCATATGTATGGAAGTATGTACGGACAAAATGTCAATGGTAGAATACCCGCTGGTACTTCTAGTCAAAACAGTAACCCCGCTACTGCACATCAGCAGTCCTACGGTAACCAGTACGGTTACCATGGCAACAACTCGGCCACTGTTGCTGGTGGCAACGTAAAACAAATACCTACGATTCCAAGACAATATCCTGTCAGCAAAGGGCCAACTGTCCAACCAACTCAGCATATGGATGATATGGACGATATTGATGATGTGAATCTGAACTTCAGTGAAAGGTCGGAATTCGGAGGTCAGACTGGTATGAACTCTGACCGCTCCCAGGTACTAGGAAGTGGAAGTCTGTACATTCCCAAGGGGATACAGCAAGATATGTATAAGGGTGTTTATACAGACAAGTGACTGTGATCCTTTCTTGTTCTTAAAATCATTTCAATTGTGAGGAAAAAAAATGGGACAATGGTATAACTATAAGAAATTCATGGACTTATATAATTCATGGACTTATATGACACATATTTATTGCATGCGGATTCCACAGGAAGAAAAACAAATTTTGTGATACAGAACTGTTATGATGACCCATTTCTTCCGAAAATATTTCCACTATTCATAGATAATTGAAACATAAATAACAGGCCCATAAACCTAACTAGACTGAAATGTTTAGTCTATAGGCCTATCTAGACTATAGTGTTCAGTCCATTGGCCTACCTAGCCTGTAGTGTTATGTCTATAGGCCTACCTAGACTGTAGTGTTAAGTCTATAGACCTACCTAGACTGTAGTGTTAAGTCTATTGGCTTACATAGCCTGAAGTGTTAAGTTTTTAGGCCTACCTAGCATGTAGTGTTAAGTCTATAGACCTACCTAGTATGTAGTGTTAAGTCAATAGGCCTACCAAACATGTGGTGTTTAGTCTATAGGCCTACCTTGACTGTAGTGTTAAGTCTATAGACCTACCTAGCCTGTAGTGTTAAGTCTATATGCCTACCTTGACCATAGTGTTAAGTCAATAGACCTATCTAGCCTGTAGTGTTAAGTCTATAGACCTACCTAGTCTGTAGTGATAAGTCTGTACGCCTACCTATCCTTTAGTGTTAAGTTTATAGGCCAACCTACCTTTAGCGTTATGTCTATAGGCCTACCTAGTATTTAGTGTTGAGTCTAAAGGCCTACCTAGACTGAAATGTTAAGTTGATAGACCTACCTAGACTGTAGTGTTAAGTCTATAGACCTACCTAGACTGTAGTGTTAAGTCTATAAGCATACCTAGCCTTTAGTGTTGAGTCTAAAGGCCTACCTAGACTGTAGTATTAAGTCTATAAGCCCACCTAGCCTTTAGTATTGAGTCTAAAGGCCTACCTAGACTGTAGTGTTAAGTCGATAGACCTACCTAGACTGTAGTGTTAAGTCTATAAGCCTACCTAGACTTTATTGTTGATTCTTAAGGCCTACCTAGACTGCAGTGTTAAGTTGATAGACCTACCTAGACCATACTGTTAAGTCTATATGCCTACCTAGCCTTTAGTGTTAAGTCTGTAGGCCTACCTAGCCTGAAATCTTAAGTCTATAGGCCTATCTAGACCATAGTGTTAAGTCTATAGGCCTATCTAGACCATAGTGTTAAGTCTATAAGCCTACCAAGCCTGAAATGTTAAGTCTATGAGCCTATCAAGCATGTGGTGTTTAGTCTATAGGCCTACCTTGACTGTAGTGTTAAGTCTATAGACCTACCTAGCCTGTAGTGATAAGTCTATAGGCTTACCTAGACTGTAGTGTTTAGTCTATAGGCCTACCTAGACTGTAGTGTTAAGTCTATAGACCTATATAGCCTGTTGTGTTAAGTCTATAGACCTACCTATACCATAGTGTTAAGTCTATAGACATACATAGACTGTAGTGTTAAGTCTATATAGACCTACCTAGACCATAGTGTTAAGTCTATTGGCTTACATAGCCTGAAGTGTTAAGTCTATAGGCCTACCTAGCATGTAGTGTTAAGTCTATAGACCTACCTAGTCTGTAGTGATAAGTCTGTAGGCCTACCTATCCTTTAGTGTTACGTTTATAGGCCTACCTACCTTTAGCGTGATGTCTATAGGCCTACCTAGTCTTTAGTGTTGAGTCTAAATGCCTACCTAGACTGAAATGTTAAGTCTATAGACCTACCTAGACTGTAGTGTTAAGTCTATAGACCTACCTAGTCCATAGTGTTAAGTCTATAGACCTACCTAGACTGAAGTGTCAAGTCTATAGGCCTACCTAGCATGTAGTGTTAAGTCTATAGACCTACCTTGACTGAAGTGTCAAGTCTATTGGCCTACCTAGCATGTAGTGTTAAGTCTATAGACCTACCTAGACTGTAGTGTTAAGTCTAAAGGCCTACCTAGACTGTAGTGTTAGGTCTATAGACCTACCTAGCCTGTAGTGTTAAGTCTATAGACCTACCTTGACCATAGTGTTAAGTCTATAGGCCTACCTAGACTGTAGTGTTAAGTCTATAGGCCTACCTAGACCATAGTGTTAAGTCTATAGACCTACCTAGACTGTAGTGTTAAGTCTATAGACCTACCTAGTCCATAGTGTTAAGTCTATAGACCTACCTAGACTGAAGTGTCAAGTCTATAGGCCTACCTAGCATGTAGTGTTAAGTCTATAGACCTACCTTGACTGAAGTGTCAAGTCTATTGGCCTACCTAGCATGTAGTGTTAAGTCTATAGACCTACCTAGAATGTAGTGTTAAGTCTATAGACCTACCTAGACTGTAGTGTTAAGTCTATAGACCTACCTAGACTGTAGTGTTAAGTCTATAGACCTACCTAGACCATAATCTAACCCTTGAAGTACCTGGTAATGAAACATTTAATGTCAAGGTCAGCATTTTAGCAATGGACAAATTGTTTATAACATTGACAAGTGAAGACCAGTTGTATCCTTTTAATATGAAATGCGATTCTTAATAAAAATTGATGAGTCTTAAAGACATTTTCACTGATGTTATTAGTTATCTTTTTTTACATCATATGGCTCTTTCAAAATCTGATCAAAACCATATCTTTAATTCCACTCCAATACTCTACGTTCATGTCAACTCGATTCCAGTAGAGTATCGAAGTGGAATTAAATATCTGGTTTAATCAAATTGACTCTATCAATGTTTAATTGTAGGATAGAAATGTCCTACCCAGGGGCACAGAATTTAAGCCTTGCAGAGGTTTTTGAACCCAAATGATACAACCGCGGGATGGACTAAACTATCTTACATCAATCACTTATGGTAGAGCATCCTCGATTCTCCATGGGTTACGCTCACTTTCACTCTCTGTACCCCATCCTCAATACCCCAGGGGTTACGCTCACTTTTACTCTCTGTACCCCATCCTCGATACCCCAGGGGTTACGCTCACTTTTTCTCTCTGTACCCCATCCTCAATACCCCAGGGGTAACGCTCACTTTTTCTCTCTGTACCCCATCCTCTATTCTCAATGGGGTTACGCTCACTTTCGCTCTCTGTACCCCATCCTCGATACCCCAGGGGTTACGCTCACTTTTACTCTCTGTCCCCCATCCTCAATACCCCAGGGGTAACGCTCACTTTTACTCTCTGTGCCCCATCCTCAATACCCCAGGGGTTACGCTCACTTTTGCTCTCTGTACCCCATCCTCAATACCCCAGGGGTTACGCTCACTTTTACTCTCTGTACCCCATCCTCTATTCTCAATGGGGTTACGCTCACTTTCACTCTCTGTACCCCATCCTCGATTCTCCAGGGGTTACGCTCACTTTCACTCTCTGTACCCGATCCTCGATTCTCCAGGGGTTACGCTCACTTTTACTCTCTGTACCCCATCCTCTATTCTCAATGGGGTTACGCTCACTTTCACTCTCTGTACCCGATCCTTGATTCTCCAGGGGTTACGCTCACTTTTACTCTCTGTGCCCCATCCTCTATTCTCCAGGGGTTACGCTCACTTTCACTCTCTGTACCCCATCCATGATTCTCCAGGGGTTACGCTCACTTTCACTCTCTGTACCCGATCCTCGATTCTCCAGGGGTTACGCTCACTTTCACTCTCTGTACCCCATCCTCGATACCCCAGGGGTTACGCTCACTTTTACTCTCTGTACCCCATCCTCGATACCCCAGGGGTTATGCTCACTTTCACTCTCTGTACCCCATCCTCGATATCCATGGGTTACGCTCACTTTTGCTCTCTTCACCCCTTGAATATGTCATTGCAAAATCGAAGGCACAACCTTGATGGGGAGACAAGAAGACTAGTTTGATCTTTTGATGTACATCAAAGAATCTTGCGGGGTAATACTTACTGGCTTTGAAGTCTGGCGTCGCTCCTCTGTACTCTTCAAAGGACAGGTATCAGCCTAGTGATTGGTCATTTTTTTTTTACCTGGCACCAATCAAATAGCTAGCCGCATGCTTTCAATTTTGCCATGACATATTCCAGGGGTGTTGACAGCAAAAGTGGACATTACCCGTGGATATCGAGGATGATGGTAGAGTTATTTTCTTACATCTCTTATTAGATTGAGATGGTGTAGCTGCTATGTAATGGCAAAATATCAACTTCTTCAATACCATACCAATTTTAAAACTTTACATGTTGTATACTGGGGAGATTTTCGCTGTAGTTTAATTTTTTGCATTTTTCGCTTCTGTTCACGAGGGCATATTTATCATTACAGCGAGTGTTCGCAAACACCATAATATTCATAATAATTTAATGTGAAGGCAAAATTAATACTGGGATATGGATGTTTTAGTAAAGGGCGAAAATTTTACTGAAAATTTCCCGGTTAAACAGTACATATATCACTCACTAGAGTATCACAGTTTGGTTTATACTGAAAGCATCACCTTTAAATTATTAATAAGAGTGCAATAAATGTGGTTTAAATACTTGAACTGGAAAATAAAATTTGGGAAATAATATAATTATTATGACATCAAACTTGTGCGGCATGGCGTCATCTCATTGTCTTTGCATTGTGATGTCATGCCCATATTATATAAGATTTTAAAGGCACTTTCATGCCCAGTGGTGTAGGAAAGGGAAATTCCACCCTCGGGATTGTCAAAGGAGGAGTGCCAATTTGGGCCTTCTGGTGGCTATCACCGATAAGTTTTATTTTTTGTATAAACATACCTTGGGATTATGCCATCATGATATGACATGAAATTAAGGTCAGCTTGGAGACCATTTCACAATATGAGGGGGTGAAACCAAAATCACAAATGGACGCTTTTTTACAAAACTACATGTTATTTTTTTAAGTTTCTTCATCATTTTGGTGTATTGCGTAACACCAAAACAGCAAATAGTAAAAATGGACGAAAAAAAAGTTGCACATACATGTAGTTGACAAGTAGGTCACTGTGACCTTGTTATATATTGGCTCAATTATGTCAACATTTTTTGTGCCTAAATACATATTACAACCGTACAATAATCTTAACCAAACCTCAAGAATTAGGATTCGAAAACAATCATGAGGAGTGGGGAGCGGTCGAAGTGAGCAGGTGGGAGGGTGTATTTTCTTCATTCTTTTTTAACGCTTTTATTCATATGTTATAACTATGTTTATTGGTACATCCGATTTTCCGAAATATTAGACCAGGATAAAAACAAATGTATGTAAATGCTTACATTTTGATACATCTGATGCATGTCTTAATAAAAGTGTGACTTTTGTGCTAAAAATGCTGTTCTTTGAATAAAAGTGTTAAAAAGGCAGATAAAGAAAAAATCCCACCCACCCTCTTACTTCTACAATCCCCCCCC